GAATAACCAAAGGCACCCTGACCGATCGATTTGTTCCATATGGGGGTTGTTAGTGTTGTTGAGTCTTGTAGTTTACGGAGTCGGCTGTCGCGGTGCTAGAAGGTGAGGAGATGGTTTAGGTAGACGGGTGCTGAGGAGACAAACATGTTCTTATTATGTAATAGGCTTGTGGTGGTACGAACCATTTCACACTTGGTTTTTTGTTATTGTTGCATTTAGTTTGTTAGTATAATCCCTGCCACATCAAATCTCCCATTACCGAGACCCCTTTCTATATGTTTTCCTCTTACCCGATAAAATGTAGGATTCTAAAATCACATTATCCTTCAGTTGAAATGCTAAAACCAACGGCAGATCGGAACAGAGCCGACGGACCGGCACCCGGGTAGATTCAGCGCTACATAATTATAACAGATATCAAAGGAAATGGCGACAAAGGCAAAAGCCCTATGTCCGGATGTTAGCATAAATTGAGAATTTTATCAAATCGCACAATTCCACGAGGTAAAATATAGGAAGATTGCTAGTAGACTATCTCAGGACATCCGGATACTTCTGTAATCCTGGTTTATACCCTTAAAAATTAACCAACATGCGTGTAGAATGTAACTCGTTTTGCGTGGTGCGTCGGACGGGGCTTGTATTTCACGATGATGTATCGTTGTCTCTTATTGTCATTGCCATCAGCGGCGCGCCTATGCGCGATTGATGAGTTTAAAGTATTTCCCACAATGTGGCGTTATCGGACCATTTCAAACATGCTGCCGTGAATCAGCGACAAGCAAGCAGCCGCTGGTAATATTTCTCGAAAATGACTTATTGAGGACTCTTTTTGAATGTGCAATCAAGGACCAATGGTTGACTGTAATATTGTTGATTCGTGAACAGTGTGCGCTCGTATTGAAGTGCGGAAGTCTTGAACGTAGCTCACTGCTGTACATCGACGCGCACTGGTATTGGCAAGAAGTATTTCGACCACTCCCTTTGCCGGGCTGGACCAAAGTAGTCCACCAGTCCAACAAATACTGACCGCGGACGTACGATCATATTAAACCGAACAGAGGTACACTGTGCCAACCCAAAGTCAACAAAGCTGTCCATTAAACTGTCTGTAATTATTATTTTCTTACGTTTGACAATAAGCATTTCCAAACTTTCGGTGTAAGCCTGCGAAAAAAAGTGTTATAGTTCTTGATCAAACTTGCTGTCTTTGTTCACTCATGCGGCACTGCACCTGCAGCTGAATCTTTCACGTCGTTGCTCTCAATTCCGTGCCCGGGGCTTCGTTACTTTCGACGGAATGACCCTTTGTAAAAATATTCAATTTTGCGCACGCCCAAATTCAACCTCTCCCGACAGATGTACCGGACACAATCCTGTAACGTTGCGACCTTTTTGACGGTTACTAAATAATTGGATAAACACAAACAGCACAAAGGGGGAAATGGCATATAAGCCTTGAATTGTCCATCTTGAAGAGCTTTGTTTTGACATAAAACAAAGTAAAAACATAAGGGATTTCTGTTAATGTTTGCAACTTTTTCCATGTTGATCTATTAACGTAAATAAAAAAAGGCAGTGGTGTTTTTTGGAAGCAATGAACATGTTTGGTGAAGAATTAACTGTACCATAATACAAACTGCATGGTTGCGTTACAAAAAAGAAATGCTATCCGCAAGGTGGACGGAAGCAGACTCCCAATCGTTGGGCTCTTACAGAAGTTTTCAGTTAAAAAGCAGAAGTGCTCTGGATATACTGCGGGACAAAGTGAACATTGAAAACATAAAGGTTTCATCGTTATTGCACGTTTTATTTTAAACGAAAAGAAATTCTATTCGTAGTTACCTTTAAGCGCCTAAAACCCTCTGGAAGAATATTTTGTATGATTACTTTTTGCACACAATAGATCGCCTTTGCCTTGAGTACACTGTTTCCCAGTCGATTGAAGTCGATAGTGGCGGGAACCAGTGTAACTTGCAAGAACTGAATTGTTGTCGGACCCAAAATAACGACCTCAAGTGTAGAAATTAAATATTCCATAATGCGGGCCTTTTCGTTTCGTTCGATGTATTGCTAGTCGAAAACAATCGGGTTATCTCGAAAATAGAACGGAGGGTACACTCTCAATTTAAAACCTTTCAAGAGTGTCACACAGGCAACAAGCAGTAGTGGCTTTTTGGGAAGAATAACAAAGACAAGGTTAATGTAGATGTATAGCATGTATCTTATTTACCGAACACGAGTCGTTGTCTTTTGGAATAGGCACTTTAGTAAGTAAAGTCCTTGCCTTTAAGGTTGTATCCTCTCCACGGTGAGTGTTGAACTGATAGGCCTAAGACGAGAAGTTTTTTTTCTTGTAAGACGTGAGCAAAAATAGGCATATGTGTCTCTGTCAGGGGTTTTGCAGTCAACTGCGTGGTATGTGGTTCGGTGCAGTGTGTGTTTCATTTTTGTCTCAACTGTCCTCCGAAGAACTGAACACAGCTTAACCAAGCATTAATTTTCCTCTTCCCTCCCCACTTGCCACGAGATACATCTCCGTAAAGTTGAGGGTATCAACAGATGTAAAATAGTTACATGTATGTTCTTAAAAGTCAGTGCAATTGGAGGTGTTGCGCGATAGCCTCGGGCCCCACTGGATGCTAGGGTGAAACAAATTACAACTGTTCTATTTTAATGAATGATTTTCTTAGCTGTAAGTTTTTTAAACATCAAAGAGCAAAATTGAAAACGTCAAATTGACTTGAGCAATAGAAGGCAGTTACGACTCACAAGTAAAGTATCTTTATGGTTTGAAAAAAAAACCAAAAAAAACCCCCCGTTTACCGTAATAATAGACAAACAATCACCTTATAATAAGAAGGGGAAAAAAAGATTTTCTTAGCCTTTGACAAGCATGTTATTTTTAAAATAGTGTCATACTTTAAACATACTTCAGATAAGTAAGATTTGAGGCTTTGCATGGTGGAGATACTAAATAATTAAAGGTTTGCGGAAACACCATGTGCGAATAACTTCTCAACTAAGAGAATGGTTCTGAAAAGAACCAGAGGTATAAACTCGACGTTCCGGTCAGTATGCTCTGACCGTCTTCAGGAGAGTGCCTAAACTCTAAGAAAGTGAATACTTAAGTAGCAAAAGGCGAAGTCAATGAAGTGAGAAGATACTTCAGATATTGAAACAGTTCGTCAGGGAACATGTGTGATTGGATGCTGTTTTAATGGCTGACCAACATTTAAAAAAAACCCGAATTTGCAAACTCTTTTGATAAATAGATTACGCACATATGCATATTACAATAGTAGACTCCTAAATCCAGAATTTAGATTTGTTGTAAAACGGCAGCGTTGTATTTCAGCCTGAGACTCGTAAATCTTTAAATAGATTCAATCAAGTCACAATCCAAGCCGACCTAATAAAAACGAAACTTTTAAATTTCTGGGTTAGGCTAATTCCATTTGGGAAAATACGATGACTGTTTTCTCTGTTTGACGTTTCTAGAGCAGGCAAATACCAGAACAAAAAAAAGGTAACAAAGTGAATGGTTTCAAAGCGACAGCAAAGGTTCCTTCTCTCTATAGTTCATAAATATTTTCCTTTGCAGCACCTATGGTACAATATGGGAGAGGGAATTATTTCTCCGTTCCGTATTGTTTGGACAAGTTAGAAATAAAGGGCCTAAACCTTGCCCTATAATCCATCGTCGCAAAATCCAAGAAACATACCTTCTTACGAGGTCCACGCTTGTTGATGCACCTCTGCGTGAACAAAGGTGCAGTTTTAAATATTTATGGTTCAAACAACATGAATTTGACCAATTTTAGTACTAAAGAAAGACGTGGGCGAATGCTGATACTCGATAATAGAACACTCTTCTGGCAGTATCATCAAGGAACATAAGGGCTCTAAGTGCTCCTCTTGAAAGTAATTGATATTATTCATCGGATAACATGATTCAAATTACCGTTGGGTGTACCAAACATACTGTCAGTGTCAAATGCTTAAACAGGTCATTTTACAGGTTGAACACCTGTTTCATAAATGCTTGCTTGATTCCAATAGAACGCTGATCCTGAGCAGGCGCTACGGGTTTTGTACAGCTTGGTGTCTACTGATCCTCCCGTTGTTCTCACAAGCGGTCCTCACCATTCGGGTGAGGCTACGGTCGTCAATCAGGTGGCGGCAAGATACAATATTGTCCAGGCAAGTTGTTATATATTCTCTCACGCATACGTACAGTGGGACCTCCTGTTCTTATCTTAAGCTAACATATGTACCTGAGGTGACTACCGTCTAATCAGCGTGCAAAATAGAAAAATAGCTCAGCAAATTGATGTGCTAATTCAAATTTGAGGAAAAGCAGAAATGAGCACAGGTCATTTAGACAGGTGCAATACATTTAGACTGGTGACCCCTTTTGCTTAGCAAATGCTTAGGAGTTTTCCTGTGTTAAACGTTTAGTAGCCCCATAAAACTGGCCCAATATAGTGGATACATTTTTCGAGTACTTTTTTTCCTGGTCATGCTTAAGTTGCGATGACTGAGCATCATTATTTGCCACGTGTGTTCAAATTTGTTTTATCAAATCAGAATCACTATGCAGCAATAGTTGCACAGCTTGAAGTCAAACAGAATCCTCAGTCTAATATAGCATGTAGCAGTCCCGATGATTGTTTTACAATATATTTTCAGAAAGCTGATTTTAGATTAATTGGAAATAATTGACATTGACGTGTTTATATTCACAAATAAGCCAATCTTATTTTATCCAAAAAAGTGGAAGTAAGATCGAAATAGTTTAAAAGGGGAACCATGAAAATCACATGGTTCAATAAATTCATGAACTTAATTCACTTTTGATGGATGGTGGAAGGAGAAATACATTCAATTGCGCAGTCATTTCATGATGTATTGCCTTTTTACAGACGTTAGAATGTACAATTGCAAACCACGTGACTTTTCCTAATAAGCACAGTTCATCCGATTGGTTGATAGGTTGGTTTGGCGTCACGTGATGACAGATTAGCAAACCGAACTAATTATCCGTACACTGTTCGAGCACATCCTACCTATGAGGCTCAGGTGTCTGCTGGGGCTGTCTTCCTTAGGTGGATGGGATGGAGGAGAATTGCCTTCATCTTTGAAGAAAGCGATGCCTTTCAAACGGTACGATTTGTCCATTTTATATATTTTTTTTCATGTCAACTTTAGATTTAGGACATGCACTATATATAAAGTATATGAGTATATCCGAATGAAACTGCGGGTCCAGAGTCGCGCTCATCGAAAATAAGTTAATGCGACATAAGTTGGACGCTTGAAACAGTAAGGAACAACTATGTAGAAAGATCGACTGTTGTATACTTTTGGATTTCTACTCAATTGAAACTGATGGTAGAAAAGTTACCAAAGTTTGAAACCACATTATATTTGGGTCATATTGAGTCACTCTAGAGTGCCCAAGGGCGGATCCAGGGGGGGGGGGCCAAAGGGGGCCATGGCCCCCCCCCCCAAAACGAAACCATTTTTTTTTTTAATGTAACATCGCAATTAAGGCAGGCAATGAGTACACCACTATCTTTTCCTCAAAAAAACATTGGTTTAAAGTGGTCAGAAATTGCCTCAGATCGCACCACAGAGCATTTAGAATCCAAAAAAAATTTCGGGGCCCTTAAGCGGGCCCCAAACCCCACGCCGTAATTTTTTTGACCCACTTTTTGGGGGGACCAAATTTTGTTTGGCCCCCCCCCCCTAAAATTGTGTTCTGGATCCGCCCTTGAGAGTGCCAGGCTGAAACGGGTATGAAGCACGATTACACTCAATTATATTCCCTTATTCTACATCTGGCGGCTTTTCTTTAAATCGTTAATGCATTCCGCACGTGCTTTTTACTCTCAATTCGGGAAAAAAAACCATATAAAATCGGTTTCCAGCCGCAACAGTCACTCGCATGCGTATGAAAAGCCCATTGTCTCTCTGTACACTGCTCTCATTCAATTCAAGCTGGAATCAGCCTATAATAGTTACAGCCATCGATGCTCATGGATTTTATAGATTTATAGAATTTATCGGGAAAAAACCTTTAAAGTAGAGTTTCCCGAATATCATCACGTTACATCGGTGGTTTTTCATCGCCGTAGTAATTGAAACTGTCACGTCTCCGACTTCTTAAATATTCAAATCTAAAAATTGACCATTTGAAACTGTTGACTTGTTTTGCAGCACATGAAGGAATTCCGATGGATTTTGGAAGCGCACGGCATTAACGTAGTAGTGTCTGAAGGGGTCAAAGACATTAATGACTTAGATGTGCATCTTCAAAATTTGAAGGTACGGGCAAGCAAGTATCTTCCTTTTTTTGGCAAGCACAATTACATACAGGTAAAAAGAATGAACAAAAGATTTGGAGATCAGTTTTAAATTTGGAGATCAGTGCCGTTCGAATTGATTATTAATGACTGGTGAGTGGTCTGTCATAGCTCTGTACTACTATTCAATTTGATATGTGTATATGTCACGGTTACGTGTAGGGTAAATGCTGCCTAATGTGGTGAGTCCGCTTTGGTGAGATAAATTAATAAATAAAAGTTGTCAGGAGTAAAGCGTACAAAAGTTGTCAAGGTTAATGGCACTGAACCCTGTAATATTTCACATCAGCTTAATATGACAGTGAGATAACATTACATGTGATGACTTCAGTATTTGTTAATGATTTCAGGGAATCTCAACGGTCTAGCAATAGTCTAGGTTACATACATCTCAAATAGTTAGGGTATGGTATAGACTAGTATTTAATGGGCTATATGGTATACATGTGGCACACTAGTAATTAGCAGCCTGAGCCTGAACCCGAGCCTGTGCCTGAGCTTAATTATGAGTAAAATCCCAATTATGAGTAAAATTAACTCTGAGCCTGAGCACTGTGCAAACCCGCTCTCTCCATGTATAGAATCAACCTGTGTAAACAACACACAGACCGAACACATAAATAGTCGTCGGAACGATACCTGAAACAGCCGTACGCTTCACGTAAAAGTCACGCGGTAATCTCACACAAACTTTCCACACACAAGGTAGCAGACCAGTAAATAAACTTCCATAGACCCCAATGGTAAATGCTCCCACTTCCAAAATTCGGGAAAAATACTCACAACTCTCCAAGGTGTTCGAGACACACATCAAATTAAAGCTTATTTTATCATCTTTCATTTTCTGTTCAATTTACGGGGGGTCAACTGATGACTTTTAGGAGAAATTTCAATCTGAAGACGATCACCCCTAAAAATAGTCCTGAAGCCCATCGCCATTTTGAAAAACGATGCCTACACTCCATTGCAAAATAGAACGCTTTTAGGGTCCAAATTACATCCAAATTACACAGAACTGCAAGCTCCCAGTCCTGTGCACGGCTTCCACCCATATTTTTTACAAACCCTCAAGTTCATGGCCCACAGCATGCTTAAATACAGAAGATTTTGAGGGCATGCAAATCGCGATTTGGCCGGCGCAGGCAATTTCGGACCGATTTACTGGTCTGCACCCACAAGAGTTTCCCGAGAATGGTACACAGAAAACTTGTCCAAAATGACAGATTCTGATTTTGGTTTGAGCCTACACTCGGTCCACGTGTTCTATGAACCTGCATTCATAGCATGGTTAGCTCAAAATGAGGTATTTCGGTGAATAAACTATGCAAAATAAGTGAGATTTCCAGAGAACGTGAAACTTACTTCCGTACGAAGTAAATTCCAGCGAGAGAGAGAGGACGGCTAGCGCCGTGTAGTACGTTCATCGAAGCACGTCGCGTAAGGTTAAAGCACTGGGCCTTCACTCGGCATAATACAAAAATTTACAAACATTGTTTCGCTATTATTATGACAGAAATATTCAAGTATAATGACCATGATTATACACAAATATTAATTATGTCTAATAATTTGTATGGAGATAGACCAACTACACAATGGGCCTATTTCACCCAAGCGTATGAACGGCATGGTGCAGTAATGTGGTCGTAGCGTTGTAAACTGTAGTGTTTACTGTTAACAGTAAACAATAGGCTTGTCTCAAGGCAGTATTTGAGTCTCGTTTCGAGTCAGATCACCACAAGTGCCCTGCTTTGGAACCTTCGCCCTCGAATTGTTCTTTCATGACCCAAAGATCCAATATATATATAACTACAATGTGTTACATCACCGCAAACATCACTGCGCATGTTTATAAGTGACAATACAACATAAGGTAAAATTACACTATGCTTCCTTGACATATTTTAAGCAAACACGGTGTTGTTCAGTGGTAAGGGGATCCCCCACACTCAACGAGCAAACCCCCGAGCAACACATGAAAAATTCAACAACTCTCCTCTCCAGACATTTGCAAAAGATATGAAATACAATGTATGTCTTAATGGGTCTTAATACAACACGTTACATAATACAAAATGTAATACAAGGTTAAACAATGTTTTCAGCAAGGTTAAGGTTCCATTTCGTGCATTACATTTGCACGACGTTTAATATTATTATTATTATTATTATTTATTCATGCCAATTCTTTTTCATCACATACAAGATGGGCATAGGAGAGGCAAAAGCGATAACAATCACTGTGGTCAAAGACCTGCCACTCCTCATCAAGTTGTGCACAGAGTAAATAAATATATATAAAAATACTAATATAAAAAGTATTGGAAGCCCAAAGTTAGAACTTAAAAATATTTAAATATAAAAAGAAAAGGAATTACTGGAAATGAATAAAGATAAAGTACGCAATTGAATATGAAATTAAATAAGTTACATGAATAAGCAATAAATGATAAAGACACATTAAATAAGTACATAATAAACACAAATTAACACATGTGTAAGAGAACAGTAGGTAAGTGTACAATAAATGTAATGAAAATCTAAAGGGTGATTGGCAAACCGGAGGCTGAAATAGTACTTAAAATGAGAAGAGACCTGCTGCTCCTCATTGAGGTATGAGTAAAGTAAATAAATAAATAAATAAATGTAAATAAGAATATATAAAAATAAAAATATTAAATCATATGAACATTTCGATATAAAAGAAATGAAAAGAGATGACTAACTGGAAATGAATAAAAGTGGAAAGGGGTAAAAATGATGTAGGAAATTGAATGAATTAAGTAAATAAGGAGTTAGCAATAACGGCACAATAAATACAAAAAAACACATGTGTAAGAGAAGAGGTGTATATAAATATATACAACAAATCTGATAAAAAGTAATTGATAATTGGCAGAGAGGAGGCTCAATTATTAATCTTACTTAAAAGAACATGTACATGCAACATAAATATGGGGTTGGGATTTATGAAAAGAGAACACTGTTTCGAAGAGAGGGAAGAAACGTTGAAAAAGGCTGTAAAACAATAGCATTGCGAACGTGTTCAGGGAGAGTTGACCAAGGCGAGGGAAAGCATGGAGACAAGATAAATGCAGGAATTGGGTCCTAGCTTGCCGGTGCTGAAACAAAACATCATGAACATGGCGGGAGTTAACAGAAACATTGTAAATATGCATATTCTATATCCCACAATGATAGATGGCTTCACGGATGCCTCTGCAATACTTGTGCATCCCTTCCACAGTTGGATTGCACCCATCTACAAGATATTTCGGATAATTTACTCGTCTCTGCGAGTACATCTCAATTGTATCAAACTTCAGCTATCATTCAGAAGTCAACTGTTATCTTTGATTTGACCATGTGATTGAATGTTGAACATGACAGTTGCCCGGCTCTAGATAATTGATCTCTTAAGAGCTTGTAAAGATAATGTGGCAAGCTATCAACAAATGCGGGCATGTGAAAGACCTGGATGACCTTTAAATATTGTAAAGTGATCGCTAAGACTCATCGATTCTGGTATTACCCTGATTGCCGAAGCAACCCAGCTGGGAGGGAGTGGCCAAAAAGGAACACCCTGGCTTTGTCTGACATGATTTAATATTAATCATAAAGATGAAAAATTCAATATATGTGATGCATGCTTAAAAAATTTCACAACTACAAAAACGTCTTGTTTTTAATGCTTATTGGGACCAGCGGGTATGAGGTGGTTGTCACCTAGCCTCGGAAGGCAGCCTCTGTACCGCTAAAGACTGGTAACGAATACAACAAGAAAACATTTAGAACATATTATGGCATATACATGTGTATAAAAACAGAACACTAACTTTTCTCTTTTCTGTTATGCTTTTCGTGCATATATGAGTGCATTACTTGCTTATTAGTTCAAGTAATGGCATTAGGCCAACCAGGTAGGCGCTTGAGGATCCATTCAGACTTTAGCTGCAAGCCCTCTATTACAGTTTGCTGTGGTGCATTATGATGTCGCACTACGGCATGACACTTGTCATCTGGAAGACCAGTGTCTGATTTTTCTGACCTATTCGGAATTTGTTCATCATCAGATACAGACAACACTAAATGAATGACCCCTGGTAAGTCATCCCTACATGGTTGGGCTACATGTACACAAGCAGGTAGCTCAGTGCATTGTGTTACTGAAGCAGTCACTTCAGCCTGGTATATTTTGGATACATTATCATCACACAAAGTTTGCCTCGAAATATCGAAATCTTCATTAGCTTCCGGATTCAATATGGGTGAATCTTGGGTCTTCCCTGCTTTTTCCTGTTCCTTAAGGCTAAATTCATGCAGAGAAGTTGCATTAGTTTCGACCCCTTTTTCAAACTTATGATTAGTTTTGTTGTCCCCTATTTCAATTTCAGTAGTGGGAGACTGTGCCAAAAGCTCTCTACAAAAATTATGTGCACTAAATATCATTTTCCATTACTTCAGAAGATTGAGTAACATTAGAATTGGGCTCTGTCACAACCTCTGCCGTATTGCCCTCTAGGACAGAGGTGTAGCTTTTCCCGAATTGGGTTGCGCACATGAGGAATTACTGGGGCTTGGGCTTGGCTTACCCAGGTTTGCATAGGGATCATGCGATTTTCGAGCCTCATCATTTTTCCGTCTGAAGCAATTTACGGACTCGTGGCCTCTCTTTGAGCAGTATTCGCATCTCAGATTTGATCTTCCCGAGAATGTGGGCCTAGTGTTGGACTGTCCAACAACCTTGACGAGGTCTTTTAATGCTTTATTTATTTTTTCTTGATTCGCACATATATTCTCCATCATTATAACAAGTTTGGCCTGTCCATCTATTAATTTTTGGATCTCACTACTCTGTTTGCTTGTGACAACTTTGTCTACTGATGCTTCACTACTCTCCACTGTCTTATCAAGGTCCTGGTATAATTTTAAGGATATGTCCCTAAACTCATAGAAACTGAGATCAGGATTGTCCATGTCAAGTTAACGCAACTCGCGCCTGACGTAAGGACGAGCAGCGCCCTTAACGAATTGTTCCCTTAATGCCTTTTCTCTTAATCAAGCAAGGGCTTCGGACTCTTGGGGACCAGCAGCGGCAGATTCTACTAGATTGTTGAATAATATCAGCGCGCGGCTGAATTCAACTTGGCTTTTACCTTCCTGCTGAGTTCTGGCATAAAAGGCAGCATTCAATGATTGCACTGATTCTTGTGGACCGAACCGTGCACGCAAAATGCCGACCAATTTATTGTAGTCCTCTCGATCACCGGGGGCACAGCACAGGACTTCCTCCTTGGCCACCCCTCCCAGATGGTCAAGAATTGCGGATACCTTATCATTACCCTCAAGGCTTAACTGCCTACCATAGGTATTCAGTTCTTCGACCCATTCATCAATGGTAGGGTCGCCTGATTTCTTCGGCCTACCGAAGAATTTTGCTAAGTTGGCCACAGGGGCACTCTGAAATGTCAAGTTCTGAAATGCTCCAGTCAAAGTTTCAACCAATGCCTTTTGTGACTGTACAATAAGTTGTGCTATGGCTTCTAGGTTTGCCATGTTCAACTGTCAACCACAGGTGTGTATTTAACAATGTATATTATATAACACAAATCACCTATATATGGTCAAGTTATTCTGCGGAACAATTATAATATGTGGACATGTACTAGTAGCTATGTACTATGCGCGTATGATACACCAAGGGCGGATCCAGGGGGGGGGGGGGGCCAAAGGGGGCCATGGCCCCCCCCCAAAACGAAACCAATTTTTTTTATTTTTTATGTGACATCGCAAAAAAAGGCAGGCAATGAGTACACCACCATCTTTTCCTCAAAAAAACATTGGTTAAAGTGGTCAGAAATTGCCTCAGATCGCACCACAGAGCATCTAGAATCCAAATTTTTTACATAGACCCAACAATTGTTTCTCAAAAATTATAGCTTTAATAGCCAAATAAAATCTATCCAGTCTACGACGCCAGAAAAGTTGTCAAGGAGTAGACAGCGTACACACATTATTCAAGTACGGTACTCGCTACATCCTGACAAGGCTGACACAGTGACAGTTATAACGGCCAAGAGAAATCTATCCTGTCTACGACGTCAAACGTTTTGACAAGGAGTAGACAGCGTACTCAAATTATCCAAGTACGGTACTCGCTACATCCTGACAAGGCTGACACAGTGACAGTTAGAAATCTATCCTGTGACGCCAGAAAAGTTGCCACGGTTACGTGTAGGGTAATTGCACCCTAACGTGGTAAGTCCGCTTAATGATTAATTAAGAACAGATCTCCTTGGCAATTAAAGGGGAAAAACAATCAGAAATGAGCACGAATTGAAGGCAATATTTACTGTCAAGATGTTTCTAATGATTGAATAAAACTTAATCTTGTTTGAGTAGATTGAAGACAATTGGTGAGATAAATTAATAAATAAAAGTTGTCAGGAGTAAAGCGTACAAAAGTTGTCAAGGTTAATGGCACTGAACCCTGCAATATTTCACATCAGCTTAATATGACAGTGAGATAACATTACATGTGATGACTTCAGTATTTGTTAATGACTTCAGTGAATCTCAATGGTCTAGCAATAGTCTAGGTTACATACATCTCAAATAGTTAAGGTATGGTATAGACTAGTATTTAATGGGCTATATGGTATACATGTGGTATACTAGTAGTGAGCAGCCTGAGCCTGAGCCTGAACCTGAGCCTGAGCCTCAGCCTCAGCCTCAGCCTCAGCCTGAGTAAAATATACTCTGAGCTTGAGCTTATGAGTAAAATCCCAATTATGAGTAAAATGAACGCTGAGCCTGAGCACTGTGCAAACCCGCTCTCTCCACGTATAGAAATAATAGAATCAACCTGTGTAAACAACACACAGACCGAATACATAAATAGACGTCGGAACGATACATGAAACAGCCGTACGCTTCACGTTAAAGTCGCGCGGTAATCTCACACAAACTTTCCACACACAAGAGTTTCCCGAGAATGGTACACAGAAAACCTGTCCAAAATGACAGATTCTGATTTTGGTTTGAGCCTACACTCGGTCCACATGTTCTATGAACCTGCATTCATAACATGGTTAGCTCAAACTGAGGTATTTCGGTGAATAAACCAGTGCAAAATAAGTGAGATTTCCAGAGAACGTGAAACTTACTTCCGTACGAAGTAAATTCCAGCGAGAGAGAGAGGACGGCTAGCGCCGTGTAGTACGTTCATCGAAGCACGTCGCGTAAGGTTAAAGCACTGGGCCTTCACTCGGCATAATACAAAAATTTACAAACATTGTTTCGTTATTATTATGACAGAAATATTCAAGTATAATGACCATGATTATACACAAATATTGATTATGTCTAAAAATTTGTATGGAGATAGATCAACTACATAATGGGCCTATTTCACCCAAGCGTATGCACGGCATGGTGCAGTAATGTGGTTGTAGCGTTGGAGACGCTGTAAACAGTAAACAATAGGCTTGTCTCAAGGCAGCATTTGAGTCTCGTTTCGAGTCAGATCACCACATATATCGTATTATTTCTCTAACAGCGGCAGGATGTAAGGATCATATACATCGGATTTTACCTCATAGAGACGCTGAAGCTTTACTGTCAGGTAAGGTATTGTCAAAACGAATGAGTTGGAATTTTAGAGGGGCGTGTCTTACACAGTGGGAGTCACGTAGGTGCACACATGTTTACGTTACATACCTAGTGTAGACATGTGAAAAAAAACGCAATTTACTCACACTGTGAAAACTCTTTCAACCTAATTATTTTTCCTAAGATTCCCCTCAGTGTTTCTCTTCAATTCACGACCGATAAACCTAACCCAAAATGCCTCTAAACCTGTTTTCCAGAGGGGGGGGGGAACCTTGTGTGGACGTATCTGAAAACTGGTTTGTGTGGGCATCTTTTGTTCGTAAGTCCACACAGTGAATGTAATGCTTGTACAGAAGTACCGTCCCTGCCTTCCTCTGTTACACCAGTTCGAATCTTACTGATACCGTCGTCCAACAATCTTCCATATTAACTTGTCTTTGTAAATTTTATCAGAATTCCGAGCTCCCGTTCTTGTATGTGAACAAACCTTTGGTTTCATAACGAAATGAAAATATTTATAAATAAGTACAATTAAGCCGTTGACTGCACGTTGGAATCTTATAACTAACTGAAGAAAGATTATATATGGTGCAGGCTTATCTGGCTGGGATGACAACTTCAAAATACGTCTGGATAGCGCCATACTGGGCAGGTTATGGAACGTGGTGGGTACACCCTCCGCCGTCATCCATCTTACCATGCACGAAGGAACAGATCGTCGATGCAGTCAACAGCTGCCTTCACTTTAGGGGACGTCAACGTCAGGCAAACTTAACAGACCTTGATTACAACGGTGTGGTACGTTTGATTACAGGACAGATATGGGTAGAGATAAACTATAATCGTGACAAATGCGGCATTAGAAACAGTGGCGTAAAGGGGATGGAGGAAGTCAACACCCTCCCCCATTCGAGGCCTGTGCCCCCCCCCCCCCCACTCCTTTACGGTGCCCCCTCCCGGTCAGAGTTTAAAGAAGGTATATTGAATTGTTTGAAACTACATGTATTAAGAAACTCATCGTGTGCCGCCTCTACAAAATGAGGCCCCTGCACACGGGACCCTATAGTTACGCTTCTGATACCATTTCGAAACTTACATAATACATGCAGTTTGTGCATAATACACAAAATGAGATTTTGTCATATGTATTTTGACAAAATGCATTATACTCGGGGAAGCATAGGTTTCCTGCTGCTCATGTTTATTTTATATCAGTTTATTTTGCCACTTTGTGTCAATTCCAACATCTAATGATGTGAATTGTATAAAATGCTCTGTTACAACGCTTAAATTGTCCACTTTGTTACCCTTGAAATACATGCAAACTTGAGTTTTCTGCAAATTCTGGGATTCTGAGAAGGATTCTGGCACTAATTACGCGTGGTTTGGACCAATCACAGCTAGGAGTTTTCACCAATCATGTTAGACCATTGGCCAAGATTGAACCAATCAGGACACAGCTGTGGAACACAGTGCTATTGCAGGACGAAAATGCACACGTGTATCTCATTTTGTCGCAGCTTTTTGTGCAAGCTGGATAAATCTAGCTGTGGCGAAGATGTACAAAAAATATTTCTTGAGTTTCATCCATCTGTGAGTCCGAGTATTACATAAACAGAAAAATATTTGCTGTCTTATTTACTTTTTGTGTTTTACTCATTTACCCTTTGTTTAGTGCATTATCAAAGTATAATCATGACTCTTGACGATTTGTGCTATTCGCAGAAACCGTTGCCAGAACATTACGACTACTTCAACAGAAACCAACTAGTAAGCGATATTGCGCGGACATACGATAATATCCTAGTCATAGCCCTAGCCCTGAATGCGTCTATAGCGGACCTTCAGCATCTCCGGCCGCCTCGGAGACTTGAAGATTTCAGATACTCCGACTCTGACATGGCCCGTGTGATTCTTGAGAATGCGGATAACATAAATTTTGTTGGACTACAGGTAGGTACGAATTAAGAACAAGGCAACCTACACCACTCCTTCATTTGATCTGATACTGAACATTTTCTGTATCATTGAAAACTATTGCGAAGCGAACTGGCAAAGCGAATTTCACGACAGGAAACTTTCACTGCAAAATTCGCCAGAGATTGAAATGTGTTAAACTTTTGCGAATTCGTAACGCAAATTCTCGCCATGACGTCACAAATTCGTGTTCGCCTCGCTTTCGAACTCACTGTGAACCGGCTGTTTAGCTTTGAATATATAACGCATTGCAGTTAAAAAACAATTATGCAGGTATATTGGTAACGTAATGGCTCAAGAGGCTTTCACGACCGGTCATGAACTGTTGTTATAGAATACAGAAAACTGGTTATTTTGCGATGCAATGAAAGCTCCACCAAGTAGCCGGCGAAGAAAATTATACTATGTAGAATGACCACAGAAAAGTTTTGTTTGTATGGAAAGCTATTGAATTGTAGGAGAGTCTTTTAGTTTGTTTAGCCCTGATCATAATGATTCAAAATCTAAAATTTGACTACTTTTCTTCCACAGGGCCCAGTGCTGATAAAGAATGGTCAACAAAACAGGGACATTGTCGAAATAGCGCAGGCTCAAAGTAAGGTTTGAGTAAAGGCAGTCTGCGCTCATGCAGGCAGTAAAGGCATGAAACCTATGGTCGTGCTTATTTAAAAGAGGATAGGACTTCATTGTAACAAACGACCTTTAATTAACTCTCTGGAAAATCTTAAAAGCGAACTGTAATCTACAAAATAATTATTCATCTTTTTTTTTTTAATTGTTAGGTTTGATGTCTCCCGTGGTTTTTACGACACGTGAAAACCGATCACATCACATTTTGGAAGAATAACAAACACAAATGGTTTCTCATTGAAAAAAAATGGGCGAAAATAATTCATACACATAACGAACTATAAGCTAATAGACTTTTTGGTGTCCCAATGTCGGTACAGAAGACAAAACTCTCTGTAGAAACTCAATGGCTTATTTCAGTTTACATTAGAAAAAGAAAATTGCCAAAAATATCGAGTTATATTGACGAAGAGCATTGTCTGTTGCCACTTGCAATTTCACTCCATTTTGCCTGTTCTCTTGTCGTTGAGGTCAAATAAAATAATTATTTTAATAATTATAAAAACCGTGACACATGAAAAACAAATGACCGCTAAAACGGGTGACGTTGAACACATAATAGGCTCAGGATTCAAAGCTGTTTGCCTTATTTATCTTGAAAAGCTACACTCTTACCTGATTAAAGGGGAAGAGTAACACATACATTTATCTATTATCTGCATGAAAGTGTCACAAATTTCAGTCAATCGTGTGGGGCTTTAAGGGGAGTATTATACAATGAACAAAAGCACTAACTATGGGTAACAAATCTCGATCGCTGTATTGATGCATGATACGGCGACTTATCTATAACGTAACATGAGCAGCGTTCCTATTTTTGTTGTTATAAGGCCTATACTCGTTAAGAAAGAAGACAAACCGAGTTGTGATTTTTCCTGTGAGGTTGTTCCTCGTCAGCAAGAGCTACGGCTACAAGTGTCACTACTCAGTCCCTGTGGATTACTCAACAAAGTCAGTCGCTTGCCCAGAGTAGACGCAATGATTAGTCGTATATAGGTTAAAAAATTAACAGCTGTGAAAACTTTCCACAAGGTAACTCATTTAACAAATACGGGATGTTGAATATCAAAGAAAATTCAATGAGGTATGTAGGGAACATTGGAAGCTTTTTGGTAATATTGTTTTTTTTGTTTTTAATAACGGACAATAATACGTTTTCTGCAGAGATAGTAAGCGATACGAACACTACGCCATCACAGTGATGTCCACAACATGTTTTGACTTTCGGTACGAAAATTGGCAGCTACAAATTACATCGTCCGGTACGAAAATTGGCAGCCACGAATTACAGTTTTATAGTGGTCTCCATAGCAGAGAGCCAGAGACTGTTAGCAGCAGTGATGTGATCAAACTAAAATCGAAAATACTATTTTCATTTCTTCCACAGATTCATAATTTGAGACTTCTATATGATGCTTGATTGTGATATACTTGTTTAAGTCAGTTTCCCATGTGCGTGTTTCATTTAGTTCCTCAAAAACTTGAACTTTGTTTTTTAACAGGAGAGGAGTTGAATGAGGTGATGATTTACAGGACGGAAGGACAATCTCTGGAAACTTCGGATGTTTCCAAGCTTAAATGGAAAGGTGAATTTTGTTATTTAATCAACACAGTGCTTTTTGGAATCCTTTCCTCACTGTTGTCCATTTTGTCCTTTGTCACTGTCTTTGTTTTTCTCGGTCATGTCCACTTGTCTGTCGATAGGTTAGGGTACAAAAGCGTGACGCTTCACCTTATACCTAAATGTTGTCGTTAATTTGTTCTAGTATTGATCCATGTACATTATTATACACGATTACATAATTCATTGCATTTTGCTCTGTATAATATGTTTACACGGCATTGTAACATTTCATTGTGTTGAAATGGCAACACTGAAATAAATGTTTCTACAAGTTACGCATTCTTCCAGTGCACGTTTGAATTGCAATCATGAACACAGCTGTTATTTGTGAAAATAGTACGTGCATGCCGTGACATTTTACCGCGGATCGAAATATAAATAAAATGAACTGACTTGCTTTTTTTTCTTTAGATCTTCTACTGACGGTTATTTTCCAAGGCAAATTACAATTACGTCAGAACCTTAAAGGTCTGTGTATCCGCCTTGGTTGTTGTATTTCGCAATATGAACAGCAACGCATAATATTAACACAATAATAACATCCCTAATGACATTTTAGAAACTTCCGCGAAGCTCTTTTAACGATTGAAATTTATATATTTGTTTCAAACAAAAGGTCTGAATTGCGATCCTGAAAACAGGAAAATTGAATGAGATTTTATTTTATTTTGTATTAAACTATAAATAGACCGGACGCCTCTTTGTAATGAATAGCGTTCGGTAAATAATTTGCAATCTTCGGCATGAACATCACGTGCCCTTTTATGCAGTTGTACTAAACCGTATGTTTTGAACACGAATTAGAAGGCTCCATAATATGAGTTTCCAAAGACGGTCGAAGTCACCTCAAAATTTCCAAGCATCCTTGAGAATAATATTAAATAAGGTATTGCATTCCGTCATAATTTCTGTCTTCTAGCGGAACGATGAAAGTTAAAAATTCATTGTAATATTCTTGTTGTGAAGTGTTACAGTTCAGTGGAAGCGGAAACAGATGGTTCATTTATTCAAATGTTGAACATGCATTATTCAGAAACAATTTGTTACGTATTTTTTCTTTGCGTAAGCTTGGTAACCTAGATATTCTAGTCAAAGATTATATTGCTATACCTCATACATAATTCATGATCGCGAGCCAAGGTTTCACTGGCTTCATTCACGATCACGTGTCAGCCGCTAGTTTTGCTGTTTACTAAGCGCGAACGCAAGGGTTGACGCACAGGTTAAATACGAATGCGTAGTAGACTTTCGCTTGTCTACTACGCATGCGCTTTACGAATGAATCGTGGAACTAGCCATAGATATTTTAAGTTCTATATCTATGGGAACCAGCGCATTAGGGGGTAGTGCGCACGCGCGAACATCGCCCTAGCAGCATGCAGCACCTACATGCAAAGACGAGGCACACGCAAAATAACATTTTGCCGAAAAACCTTACGCGTAACTTCATGAAATGTTTGTGAATATGAATGAGGTATAGTAAAACAAATAAAACATGGTTTAGTTCGGGTGGATAGTATATACATGTATTAGCTCCCCGAGGTATTGGATGGAAGTTGATAGACTAGTTCCCGAGGCAAAGCCGAGGGAGGTAGTCTGTCAAGTGTCAATAATCATGTTTTATTTGTAAACTGACCCTCATGAAAAAACAACATGTGAATCCTATTATAGAAAAGTATGTTGTTCTTTATTGTGGGGCGGGCCAGTGAACTCCGTGCGACAACGAAAGAGGAGGCCCTTTTACCTAGCAACGACGTCCCATGGGCGGGACACTTAGCTGGTAGACGCGCACCGTTACTTGTGTGTGACGCACGTAAACCAGGGGATGTGTACTATGTACACGCAGTGGTGGTACGGCCGCGCGCATCGCGGCAAATTATTGCAGTCAGGCAAGATGGCGGTCACCCCCAGCTGTACTTTCTTTGCCGGTGAGGGGGTACTTGTGAACGGAGCGGATATAGCTCTTTAAATTTCGTTCGGAAAAAATAATTGCAGTCATTCTCCCCCCCCCCCCCCCCCGGCAAGCCATGTACTTTGTGGCACAACAAGGAACACCTAAAATTATTTGCGAGGCTTCAAAGTGCTCGACCTTATCAAATCATTGGCATGTATTCAAATGTTCTCTTTCAAATAATTGTTTTAATAGCGATTTTTTTTGAGGGGGGTTGGTTGGATGGCTAATAACCTCACCCTCAACCGACTGATATTACGTATATTATTTACCAATCTCAAATGCCTTAAGTTCCCGATTTACGTGATCGGTTCCTGATTCATTGCCTCAGGCCTTTGGTCTTTTGACTTCAACTCATCATCTACCCCATACCGTGAACAAATATTGGACTTCGATCCATCCGACCCCATCCCCTTCCCCTTGGGAAACTCCATGATCCGCCACGCCACTGTACACGTGAACCCTTTTTACGACATTTGTGAGGCATCAGAACTGGTTTTGCCTTACTGATCAAGCAAACGGTTGTATTATTCAGGGGGCCATATTCCTGTGGACGGAATTACAACAAGGACAGTGATCCTGCAGGTTCCGCCAACAATCCGAGCCACTCTCTTCACTATCGCCTCCATCGGTGCAGTCATCGCATTGGCATTTCTGTTTCTTAACGTCAGATACAAACACAAGAGGTGACTTAAGCACGTATTGTATTAAAACAAATCCATCAATTCTTATATTGAAAAATGCCCTTGAAAAAATCAATTTCTCGTCGCCTAATTTGGAATGTATTTGAAGGAGAAGTTCACGATGACTAAACAGTCACTGGAATCAGACAATGATATGTCCATCGGTTTTACTGAAATGCCTCACATAAACATCGACGTATGCAGTTGCCATTCTATGTATATATTGGCACCGAATGTATTACAAACGGTGACTGTAAAAAGAGTAATAATCCTTATTTTTAGATGTAAATAACAATACCTGTTTAACATGGAACACATATCTTTCCTAGGGCCATTAAGATGTCGAGTCCTTCCCTTGGTAATCTGACTATAATCGGATGTCTGCTTCTCCACGCCTCTGTGATCGCCATGGGCTTGGACACAACGCAACTATCTGTTACCACTATTGTCATTAAATGCCATGTAAGTATCAACCTACAAATTCCTATTAGACTCGGCGATATTTCGAAAATTGTTACATGAAGAGGCATTTTGAGTAGAAGTTGGTAACATAGATATTTTACCTAATTTTGGGGTGCTGAATCCGAAAATTGTGGTTACCAAGCTGGGTGGAAATATACCTAATTTGCATAAATCTTTAATACCTGTAGTGTTTTAATGTATTTGTTCCCATATTTGGGTATTTTTTTTTAATATACCCAAATATGTGAACAAATGTGTTACACGACAAGTATTTAAGATTTATGCAAATTAGGCACATTTCAACTGAAAATCCAGCTTGATAACAATCAGTTTCGGATTCAGCACCGTGCCCCACATTGGGTAGCTGGGTTACCAACTTGTACTCAAAAATGCCTTTTCATGCCCTTAATAAGCCTTTTTTGTTAAATATTGCCTAGACTATATACTTTATACATAATGTAGCCTTAGACCTTTAATGAAATTATGATTATTACTTAATCAAACAACGGTTTGTTATTTTACCCCATCCTGCATTAACTTAGATTTTTGCGAAAGCGGTGGAGCAGTAATGTGAAACAAATTACCTAATTTCGAGTTATTTATGTTAAAAAAAAGGTCCGTGCCCCCTTTTTTAGGCCAAAACAAAAAGTCTCCGGTTTCTGGTATGGAGCTTGCCCAAAAAGTGGTGCGGCGACGCGGCTTTTTTTTTTTTACCTGATTTTTTTTGCCTCAAATGTCGGCTGATGACTGCAAATGGTGCCCGACTAAACTTAGTGCAAATATATGGGAGTCCAGAGAGGCCACATAAAGCTTATTCTCGATCATAACCCCATCCAAAAACACGTTAAAATTGTGCAGCAGCAGGATTCCAGTCAAACCAGTGAGTTTGGCGGTTTTGAGACATCATCTTTCATTGAAAAAAAAAACCTTTTTCATTTTGCCGACGCGCATGGCTACGGCGACGCGCGCGCATACCAGAAACCGGAGACTTTTATTTTTGGCCTTATGGACAACCTGTATTTAAATTCTTTATTAGATTTACTCTCGAACTAAAAACAAACCCTTTAAATTGCCTGTTCAGATTCGAGCCATGTTGTTTATTTCATTTCATGTTTTCTTTGTGTGATGATGAAGCTGGAGAGAGTCTTGATCTCTCTGGGGGTCTCCTGTGCATTCGGTTCTATCTTCATGAAGACCTACCGAATACATGCAATATTCACAGCTATTAAGCGATTCAAACGAATTGTAAGTACTCCTTTTTTACCAAGAGAACTCTTTTTTTTCTTTTTTTTCGGTTTATTTTGTTATTTTTTATTTTTGAATCCGTTGATTTCATTGTTAAAGATGAATGCAATGTCAAAGAGGTGTCTATAATTAGTAGATAAGCGAGAAAAAAATGAGCAGCCGTCCGTAACACAAATTCCAATGTATTAAAACAGCACCTCCCCTGCTTTCCAAAAAGTGTGAAAACTGCGGGATCGTCGCCTCCCAATTTACCACAAAATTGAAGCATTAAACATGTCACAACTATCATTCTGGGTTGATAAGAAAATGACGACCGTCCTATTTAGCAACGGGGGAGGTCTATCTTGATGTCAGCTCTCAATCCATGCTGATTAGTCTGGCAAAATACTGGGTGTATGAACAGAAGAATGACATCTTTTCTGTTTTTATGTGTTACTTGTTAAAAGTGTGTAGTGGGACAGCGTACGTACACTCTAAAATGTCCCTGGTCAGATTGACCCGGAATACGGGGTTACTTTTGGCCAGACACTTTTCAGAGTCAAACTTGATACTCTTCTGGATCAAAACGAGACTTCTCTCGCTCGTTTCCGGGTCATTTCGACCCTAAACCTTGGCAAAGGTGTCATTCCGACCCAGAAAAGTGAAAATGTTAACACTGAAGAGTGTCAGGCCAAGAACCCAGAATCCGGGTCAAATCTTACCGGTGGCTCTTAGAGTGTAAGAACGACACCTTTTTTCGCTCTCTTTTAAAAACCATTTTTCACTGCCGCACGGCACCGTTTTGGATGTATGCCCGTTTGTTCAACAGTCAGGCCAAAACGGGCTTCCAGAGCTACGGCTCCGACTATTGTCAGCGCGCGTCCCCGCGTATTTTTAATGGGCACAGACCTAGACCTAGACCTAGCTCTAGACAGCTGATTCGGATGCAGCCTGATAGGCATGAATATACCTCTTGTACAATTAAATTATCCCCTGCACCTCCAAGATGGCTGCTGAATGTAATCGATCTTTAGCGGCGTATAATTCTTCGTTGCAGGACTTGCCAGATTGGAAGCTCATTAGTGGAGTGTTGGTCATTGTTCTGACGGACTGCGTCATTTTTGCTGTGTGGATTGCTCTGGAAACAACGTCCGTTTACACATTGACTCTGGAACCTCGGGTACGACAGGGAGGATCTATGGTGGCCCTGAAGGGTCATCAAAGTTTTTTCACATGTTGAAAGTGATTTGCTGTCTTTTTAGGGTCACCTAAAGGATAATTTTAGTTCGATGCATTGTTTCTCACCTTTGTAGCATGAGTGTGGATTCTAGGGAAGGGGAATTTGTACAAATTCAATACATTTTGTGTGGTATTTTACCCCTAATGGACCACTTATCGCATGTTTTGGATGACAGATTCAAAATAACGTTTTTGTAACATCGAATTCTAGAACCAGTTAAATAACTCTAGAAATACACTGTTTGAAGTGTTTGAAGCTGTCGGAGATGTAAGATTCAAGTTGGTTAAAACTAATTTGGTACAAAACAGTCGAATGCTTTTTTTCGCTATCATGTCACTGTTAGTTTCTACCAAATTTAATTATACCAATAGTATTGCACGCACTCGATCCCACTTTACGTATGCCTTATTGTAGATGAAACTTCATTTGTATTGAAACAGAAATTAACAAAAAAATATCAAGCAAGCTGTGTTTGAACATGTTCGAACAGCTTGTGGCCCTATAGTTGTAGACCTACATCTTGTATACTCTCAAGGTGTTTATAGCTTTCTCGTTATCAGTGTACTTTCGTTGCAGCTTGACATGACAGAACCTGAGAAGGAAATCTTTGACGTCCCAGAGATACGGTATTGCAGCAGCAAACACGACGTGTATTTCATTGCAGCCCTCTACGGCGTCAAGGGGGTTCTGTTGACCTTTGGCCTCTTCTTAGCCTGGGAGACGAGAAATATTGCAGTTTCCCGACTCAGTGACAGTATGTCATCGTTCATTACTGAATACATTGTACATGGAAAGTCTCACCCAAATACTGCAAATGAAAGAAAATGTTTGTAGGGTAGGAACATGCATAACATGACAAGTTCTTTTCAGAACTAAATATCTCTACTGAGCAGTAGTAATTACCACATGGTATTACTGCAAACCGAAACGATACCGACACTTCACCATTCAAAGCCTTAAATCTTATAACATGCATAACACATTGTGTTTCATTGATAGACCTTTTTCTTGAGCGACTAGACGCTTTGTTGGAGTATAAACAGACATGAATAGATGTTTAGTGGTATACGTTATACTTGCTATGCTCATTGTTTTTAGAGAAATATTTTCAATTTTAAATTGTAAGTCAAGTTATTAAACTGCTTGATTAACTTTTTAGTTTTGGTAGCCAAAGCATCCTTAATAGCGCCGTTATTTGCACACAAAACAATTACCAATTAAAATGTTTTGTTCAAACTGATAAAATGTAGCGATGGGAATCATCAACATTGTAAAGATTGCACTGACTAAAAGAAATTTCATGGAATTTTCTTTTAAGAGTAGCTCATTTAAAGGCGAAAACGACAAGCCTTTTAAGTTAACTGAATGAACCGTTAAGAAAAGAGCTGTACGTGCCTCATTCACGAGTTGGCCATTTTTTGTCGAGTTCCCTGAATGTATTTTATTAATTGTTAACTGTTGAATGGGATGGCGCCAGACTATTTATTTCAGGCACAATGCAGCCTTATTTTACTGTCATTTTTTTTAAAAATCTGATGGCTTTAAATATTAGGGAATGCTTAATTACAAATTATAAATTATTAATTGAAGCAGACTGGAATTGATTATAAATTAACTTGCTTTCATTTCTCTTTGCAAGTTCCAAAATTAAGATTTTACCTAACTTTCGATTCAATATGGCCGACTCATGAATAAGGCCCATTTCAACTCTCCTGCTTTACAGGTAAATCCATCGCCGCATCAGTGTACATCGTGGCTCTCACCATTGTCCTGACTGTCCCTACTGTTGCCGTTCTGGATGAGGAAGTCAAGATGACGTATCTGCTTCCTGGAGTAGTGATCGTGGTTGTCAGCACATTTGTGCTGTGTCTTAACTTTGTTCCAAAGGTAGGACGAGTATAATTTAATAATTAAAATACTGCTTTTAGCGCTTTATCCTATAGGTTTCAAAACGCTTCATCATTATTACTCTGCTCGTTGGGCCAATGAAACATTCCAAATGCCATCTCAGCTCCTTGGGGTGTATACAGCTTGATGCTGCCATTTCGGTGCAAAGCAGCTTTAATATTTTACTCCTGGGTGGAGAGAAATACCTTGCCTAAGGGCACACGCACCATAGCCGCAAGCTGGACTCGAACCCCAAACCCGCAGAATTACACGCAGACCACAAATTCAATGCTCCAGACCACAATGCTCCAGACCACGAATCCAATCCCTCCATTATTATATTAACCTTTTTTTTTTTAAATTACATACTTTCGCCAGAAAATTGACACTTCCGTAATACATTAAGCGATATGATTCAAGCAAGCGTCAACATTTAACGTGTTCATATCTGGCATATAGGCACGTAGTTTAATACTTTCGCCAGAAAATTGACACTTCCGTATTACATTAAGCGATATGATTCAAACAAGCGTCAACATTTAACGTCTTCATGTCTGGCATATAGGCATGTTATGAAATTGGTCACACTCTATGTCCTGTTCCTTTTGGGTGAATAGCCCTTAAAAGTTATCGACCACTCTTTACAAATGATACAGTTATCTACTCTGCCAAATGTATCACTGGTAACTGTAAGATCTCATGCTTTCACGGACTATGCATATTAGGTGTATCTTCTGCTGACCATGCACGAGGAAGACATTACACTGAGTATGATGCAGTCTATGGGATACGGTGGATCTACGACAACTAACTCACATCTGCCATCCAGCACAGATGTCATCAGTAGCGTGGAACGACTGCACGTAAAACTCACCAAGGTAAAAGGACACAGTCCAAACACTGTTCGACTTTTCTTTCGCAACATAATGTACAGTATCAATATTATCTCCATGAATTAAATGGTCAATTTTAGTTGGTCGTAATGACGTGAGGAGAAAATTCACACTAAAAAAAAATGCCAATTTGAAACAAAGATCAATAATGAGTATTCAAATGAATTTATATCGCATTTCATTTTAAATTCATGATGTATTTGTTTTACGGAATAATTTGCAGTTGATATTATTAGATATTAATAATATTATTATTAGATATTATTAATTCAATTATGATACCATGGTGGTAATCTGATATCCAAAAATTCTGGGAGCTGAAGTTAAATCTTCAGCAGTCTGTCAGTTGAAATCTAGGTCATTCTATAAATTTAGCGTCCAAATTTGTCATTTTCTTTTGTCCTTATTACCCTGGTACATTGTAACTTGCTAATCGAGTAATCATTAAAAACGACTTCAAACGATAAGGCCCATTTTTTTTTTTACATTGGTAGTGCACTTTAATCTTGCAGGAAGACTGTATTAAGAATTAAACTGGGTCAGGAAATAATTTAAACTCAAATTTATATGAACCATCTATAAAATGCGTGTCCTTTCTCCAAGATTTGTTTGCCACGCATTTTGCACGCACTGTCATTAGTCATTCCAGATGTTAATGAAGTAACTTGGACTGACCTTTAAAGTGAAGATTTTTGTTATGCAAGCAAGGTAATATTAACCAAATCATGACTACTGTGTGATATGCAGTACATTAAGAATGTTCTTTTTGTTTGTTTGGATTATTATTATTACAGAAACAAGCAGTGCTGAAGCAATTGCTCAAGGAACTTCATCTCCTGTGTTTTGCAAGGACGGATGAGGGCGCTGTCAAGAATCTTTTAAAAGATCAGAGTCGTACATAGAGTTGCGTCAGTTATTGTCTCCTTTTCTGGACGTAGCCTATGGCATGGAGTCGTCTACCATTGGAAGTTTATAGTGTGATTTAGGAGGAGACTATATAATAGCGAAGTAATTAGACACGACGGGAGAAATGTCTCACATTTCTTTGAGGAACTATCGTCGTACAGTTTGTAAATCTTGGTTCATTGCTTTGTTCATCACGCGTGTTGACTTCGGAATCTCATCCATCCCTCTTCAAGAATACTGTAGACCAGCTCCTCATGCACCACCCCATATGCCAACGCAGTAATGCAGGCAATATTTTGTTGCCGTGAGTGCGTTCGATTACTTTCCCCGCGCTTCCCGTGCAAGCGCGACAGCGTTCGATTGACCTCTCACGTGACTTCTCGCGCTTACTCGAGCCTGGCCCAAGTAACCGACTCGCCGAGCCGGTTACTTGGGTAAGTACCCCATAAGGCCATGCAATAAACATGGCTGCCAACGTGACGTCCGGCGGGCACCGCGCCTCAGGCCGTGTCCGAAATGGGCTTCCAGAGCTACGGCTATACTTGTCAGCGCGTCTCTGCGTATTTTCTATGGGCGTGGACCTAGACTTAGCTCTAGACAGTCGATTCGGATGCAGCCTCAGTGTCATGTCAAAGTTCAACTTTCCATCTCTTGCACGAAAATTTACCCGAAACCATTCACGCGAGGAGCCAGGCGCGAGTAAGCTGGGGGAAGTAATCGAACGCACACATTGGCATGTGCGCTGGTGCATCATTTCGGGTCAAATGGTACGGTCGCCCAGTTATGACGGTAGGATGTCCACCATCCAGATATCCATTTTATGATTTGTGTTATACTTACATGGGAGAACTGCCAGACCCTGCAAGAAAGCACGCCTAATTTTCTGAAGTGCAAATAATGCGACTTCATCGGCAGGTGCCCAAAGAAATAAAAAGAGATGAGAATGAGGTCTTCTTATTCCGAAAACATTGACTAAAACATATTGTAAATTAGTCAAATAAGAAACAGAATTATTTTCAACAAGCTTTGAGTTTTAAAGTCTGAAACATTATTTCTTGTGCGATATCCGAAAAATAAGGCGACTTGTCACACAATAGCTTTGAATGTAAACCTCATGCATATTATTTATTCGCATGTAATTTTAACTCCAAATATTGTGTTCAAAGGCCTAAAGGGCCACTGGCAGCCTAATTTACAATCTTTTGTTTTTATACCTGAGGATATCTGGATCTAATTTATTCCAAATGTTTTGATGTGAACAGGAACCTAAAACAAATCAACATACTTTTGTCTGTACATCATTTTGTACGCAGTGCAGCATCACAACGTTGTATATATTTATATCAACCTGATTATTATCAATCTCGACGAATGTAAATTAAAACTTTCCCGATTATTTGAAATCGATAAAAAATTGCATTAAGTTAAAAATAAATAGTTTTAAAAGCCTGGAAGCGCACATTCCTTGCTTGTTACATCTTTTAATTTACATGTTGGTACAATGTATCGGCTTCCGGAATGTAAAGGTGTAAATTGTTGTTGTTGTTGTTGTTGTTTTTTTTTTTAAGAATCACAGTTTATATATAGTTCGTACAATTATTGATAGCCAGCAGTTAACTATGTTATCATTGTTATGTGTACCGTCACCAAAGGCTCACTGAGTTTCACGATGTAATTTTCGTAATACATTGCTTAGTTATTTGGGCTTATGGGTTTGCTCTTCAGAGGACATCACTAGTTTTCACCCGTCAATAGGCCCAACACATTTTGTATTTCGATGATTTAATTCGTGAATTTTACATGTCAATGGGTTTGTTTTTTTATCCAGTGCATATGTACGCTTTATTTTGCTGGTAACTTTTCGTTGTCATTCAATAGCGTTCTCATTCAATCACCTGCACTTACGTTTGAATGTTTAAGTTGTCATTGTAAGTCTATATTTTGTCCTAATTATATTATACCTCATTGTCAACACATTGTATCAAAGAGCATGAAGGTGAATGCACGATATTGCAAATTCTGCAGTTGTGTTTATTTGTGCGTCCAATTCGCTAAAAGATTAACAATTTCGTAACGGTTGACAGGATTACGTTCGCGTTACATTAACATCGAGTGTGTAATATTATGTACATTTCTTATTTTGGTTTGTAATATAACCGATACATATACCATTAGGGAAACATTTCCATAGATTTGTGCACAAATAATAATCCAACTTTCCTGACCCCCAACCCCTATTTCCCTTATCCTACCCCCATGAATTTCGGTAGTTTTACTAGTGAACGATTAGCAATCGATCTAGCCTCTTTGCGACATTGCGGTTGTCTCTAAATAGGAGCGGAGGAATTCTCCCTAATTCCACGTGTCCCCCAAAGGTAAAGGTCCCACGCTAAAGCGTCTCCCAAATGGTATCATTTGCGATAGTCACAAAACTAAGGACTCCATCATGCCGCTCAGATATTATCAAACTCCCTATAGCTTTTTAAAGGGGTATATACTACGTCCTGAAACCCACGAAATGTTCATGTTTTGGATTGTTTACTGATCCTATTACAAACATCTGGTGCGGTGGAAAGAAAACCAACCTATAATGTCTTAATGTTCCAGAGAAGAAAAAAACCGGAAAAAAAGCCTCCCGGTTGTTTACATCAGACACGACGGAGTACGCATACGTTTTTTCCTGTCTTTTTAGTCAATGTACGATATGCACGTTGTGTATGTCGCAAAATTACACACAGTACAAATGCACAAATATGGTTTCTTACACGTCCGCAAAAGGCGAAGACTTTATGGCCGGAATCATCACAACTAGCATGAACAGCCCGACTTTTTGGATGTTTATATTCTACTTTTAAATGTTCTTTCCGATGAACAGCATTTCGTTCACTCGTTTTGCAGCTCAATTGGGCTCATTCCAATTAGGACGAAGTGTCACTATATAAATATCCACCGTCTAAAAGAATGAGGGGTTTGTTTCATAACAGGGACATTAATGCCTGGAATGCGCCCAATGGGCTACAAAATGCGATTTTAAACGAAATTATAATAATTGGAAAGAATATTTAAAAAGCAGGATTTTAACGTCCACATAAACAACCATCTTTTAAAAACTTGGGGGTTTTTTGAGGGGGGGGGGTGTCGCGAGAAAGAATTTCGGGGGTCACACCGAATTTGACTCCGAAAAAATCGAGCTATGAGTGCTACTTGTGCTGCTACTCAGTGGTTCGCATTCTGCGAACGTGTATAAAGAAACAACATGTGTGTGTGTTGGTGCTGTGCGTTGGCTAATGTTTATTGAATAGAGACGGCATGCGAATGCCACAAATGTCCGCCACGTCCGTTTTTTTGGCCCGTTTTTTTCGGGAAAGGTATAGGTTAGTTTCACCAGAATTTTGAAATAGGAAATGTAAACAATTTAGAACATGAGATGTTCAGGGATTTCAGGCCGTAATGCCCCTTTAATTTCGCCCACTGTCAAAACAAATTTAAAGGGAATGTACATCATTGGCTTTAAATTTGCTGTAATTTTCAGAAATGAACTATTTGAGAGGTTAGTATAATAGATCAAATATTATTACACAGACATTTTTTAAGTTTGGTGTTCGAAAAGGTTGGAAAAACCAAGAAAAACAAAAATGTTCAAGTAGTCTGGTTCCCTGACTCCACAAAAGATAAAATGGATCAATTTATAGATGATGGAAAATTGTAAGGCAAGGGAACCGGTCTAGCTGGCCTGCACCCGTTCATCATGAACATGTAACCAATAGCTAACAAAATTTGGACTGAAAAAATAGTAAATTTGGAGCAGTAGTTGAAAAATAGTTAGGTTTTTCCAACGCTGGTTGGCCGACCACCGTTGGAAATGTTTACAAAAATACCATTTTCTTGAAAATGACTTCACACCAAGTGCTATAATTTTACAAGATGCTTGAGACTGTCATTAACCAACATCCTAGTAAGGTATTTCGTAAAAACTTGGTAGTTTTATTTTTCGATGTTTGCAAATGTTGTATATTCCCTTTAAGCAACATGGAAATTTGTGGCCATTCAAGAGGTCAGACGTTTGTTTATTCTGAACCGTAGCATGAACAAAGTGTATTGATCGCTAGATAAATACGTACGTTTAGCGCATGACACTATGGTGACTGTTTTAGCCGATTTTCGGCTAACTCTGACAGAATTTTTGTTAAAAAATGAGTGTGACAGAAAATTTGACAGAATGGATTTTTTTGCAGATTTCTGGCAGAATTCTGCAAAAATGGTAATTTGACAGAAAAACAGCAAATTTGAACAAAAAATGGTACATAAAAAAAAAAAAGGTTTCAATCCTTTCAACAAACCCTTGCATAATGAGACAGGTTGGCTAGGTGCAAAAGTTCACTGGGAAACGGACTTAGTCGTGGCCTGTCTGCGTTTTGCCCGAAATTTACGCAATAATTTCACAACATCTTTATGTGACTATGGATTGTTTATAATGTAATTTGAACCCTAATTAAGGCAATACTACCAATCTGCATATGATTTTAAGTGTTTATAGTGTATTGCGAGTAATTCTGGGGAATTTGGCAGATTTTTTGATAAATCTGACAGAGTTTTGATGTGCATTTAGCAGAATTTGGCTCTGACCTTACGGTCACCCTGGTAAACACTACATGTACGTTGGAAGTAAAGTACACAAGACACGACATTGGCTACGGTATAAATTTGTTAAAACTCAATGCCGGTACGGTTCGTGGTATGTTCCAACCATCTTGAAATAGAAAAGCGAACTTGTATCGGTGATTTCGAGGGTCTTCATATCGCTGTCCAGATCCAGTGAAGATTGAAAGTATGGATATGTCTGTGGTTGCTGTGCTCCTTGTAGGGGTAGCTGGAGTGCTGACGATGTGCGTTTTGTGTGGATTTTTAGCATGTGTACTGTACCTGCACTACCTACACGAAAAGTATGCTCACATTCCTGCATCGCCTAGAAAGGGGTACGTATATAGATCCCTGTGCGAAACTATCTCTGTCTCGGTTATTCATCACCCGACTTCTAAATCAGACAAATATATACTGGCTGTCCTTAGTCCGAACATTTGGGACTGTCGATACTGTGTATGAGAGTCCCAAAGCTTAAGGTATTGCAAACATGCAAAACAAGAAAATAAACTGGCACCTAAAACAACCCAACACAGCTTCAGTACGGCATCAATCAATCATGCCAAAAGAATTTGAGAAACATATGGCATGAAGCGGGAACTAGTCTCAATTTACTACACATTTCTCCATAGTAAAGCCACCATACTATTGACACTGAAAGAAGAGGTCAGTCTTTCCCAATAGTTGGACCATGGTTGGACATGCACCAGTCTAGTATTAAGCCCCATTTTGGAATCACTTGACTTCCCTCTCATGTGAAAAATATTGAAGAAAATTCTCCTTTAAAAATTGAATTGAGTCTGCAAACTTGGTTGGTGAAATACTGAGGACATTTTCTTTGCCCCAGTGGAATTTTTGAAGGAATTTGCTGACTAAACTGTGAGTAAAGTGGGCCTGATTTAGTTGTGCACGTTTCAGAGCACTCCAAAGCCCTGTCTGGGCTGTCCTATGTAAATATTGGAAATAATTAGCAGCTTGTAATCCTAGTTGGTAGCCCATGAGAATTGCATTCCATGATAGTCATTTTGTTTTGCTTTGTTTCGTTTTTTATATTGCAATCCAGGTTCTTTTCTGGGCATCAACGTATCTGGGGTGGATTTCGGAAACAGAATAGATGTTTCGATGACATGCTACTTGATATGTACGTAATTTCTGATTTGCATCCAATAAATCTAAATGTTTCCATTGTTTTAATGGGAAGTCACGTTGACACTGCCGTGAAGATACTACGTGTCAAAAATCACGTCCTCCTTTTGATACTAAATAAAGTCTGTTGTTTGCCAATGGAATTAAACCATCATCATGTAAACAATGCATGGAGCAATTTTCATCAACTTTGTGCAAGAGGGTGAGTTTTAAACACTATACATCAGTGATGTAGTGCCTTGATACTGGGCCTTGGCCTTAAGGCTGCCTTAAGGCTGGATTTGAGGGCCTTGGCCTTGGCCTCGAGGCTTGAGGGCAAAAGCCTTGGCCTTGGCCTTGGCCTTGAGGGTTCAGGGCCTTGCAATTTGGAGTCAAGGCTCTTCAAGGCCCATAGATTTTTGCATTTTCCAGATAAATCTGTTCGGAATTTTGCTGTTACCATTTTAATCGTATTACCATGGAGGAGGGAAGCACCCTATAGATTTGTGAGTTGGGCACACTTCCACTTTTGTAGCATCACATTTTGTTACCATTGTAGTAGATTTGCTGCAAAAATATTCCGTACACTGTCTTGTGGGGCTAATGAGATGATCACTTTAATTGCATATAACTATGGAATAGATCTGATTGGTTGTATATGTCTCCCTGATAAGTGCTGAAGATTTGCATGAGATCTGTTTTAGATAATGCTGATATTTCTGACCATGTTCGGCCAGCAAATAAAAATTTCCCAAATCAGTTTCTTGGATCCCCCTTTTGTTACACTTGGGAGAATTGTGTGTCAATATAGAAGTAAATCATTATTTTGTTTAGTTAAACCATATTGAAGACCTGAACTTATACATTAATAGATACAGAGCAGTCATAAAACGGTGTAGGCCTATGCGAGCATGTTGATTGCAATTAAAGAAATGTTGTTCTTCGTAACGAGCTATTCGTGATGATAAGGGCGGATCCAGGGGGGCCAAAAGGGGCCATGCCCCTCCCCCCCCCAAAAAAACAAAACACGAAACCATTTTTTTTTAATGTGACGTCGTAATATAGGCAGGCAATGAGTACACCACCATCTTTTCCTCAAAAAACATCGGTTAAAATGGTCAGAAATTGCCTCAAATCGCACCACAGAGCATCTCGAATCCAACAATTTTTCAGGGCCCTTAAGTGGGCCTCGAAGCCCAAGCCGTAATTTTTTGGGGGGACCAAATTTTCTTTGCCCCCCAAAAAAATTGTGTTCTGGATCCGCCCTTGCGTGATGATGTGTCACTCATGTGACTATAATTTGTTCTATATCAGTGGTCATTTCATAAAACAGGGCCTTGGCCTTGGCCTTGGCCTTGAGGGTTAAGCCTTGGCCTTGGCCTTGGCCTTGAGGGTCAAAGCCTTGGCCTTGGCCTTGGCCTTGAGGGTCAAAGCCTTGGCCTTGGCCTTGGCCTTGAGGGTCAAAGCCTTTGCTCCAACACTGCTATACATGAAAAATACTCACTTTCCGAATGTCGATATACAGCGCTGGAGTCGGTGGCAGAATTCGGCGCGTGCTGCGGCCGAAAGCTTCTGAATGCAGGATCACGCCTGATGTCATTGCACACCTCCTCGATCATGTGTTGCGCCAAACGATCGTGGAGGTGTTCAATGACATCAGGGGTGAACCTGCATTCCTTCAGAAGCTTCGGCTGCAGCACGCGCCTTAATTCCGCCACCCTCTCCAGCGCTGTATCGACATTGGAGGATGCCAAGCCGATAGTGGCAGATTCTGAAGAAACAAAGCTGATGAAACTTGCCCCATAAAATTTGCCATGCTCTGTTTACATGATCTGAAATTAAGGTTTGATTCCATTGGTAAACGACAAAGTTATTCATGATCAAAATAGGACATTTTTACGCGCTGCTTTTTTTCCAAGCTTCGGCAAATCACTACGTATAGGCCTACTTCAATAGGAAAAAAATAATATGTTCTCCTTTGATAGAAAAACTTATAATTAAATTAATACCTGAAGCACAGAGGAAGGAACAGGAGGAGTTACAGCTTCTCCAAATCCCCGTTCCTTATGACTGAAACTACATGTAGGCCTATTTGGATCATTTCGATGATTGGGACACACAAATGAAGATGCAAGTGTTCAAATGAACACTGTACTGTTGTTTGTTCATGCTTGGCATTCTGCAGCGTTTGTTCTATTCGTCGTTTCAGGATGCGTGAGTGTGGATCCGTGTTTCACGTCTTCATCTATTTCGTCCCATTTGTGATCGTCCTCGAAGCAGATTTCGTTAGGGTGAGTTATTTCATTGTCATATGTTGGTCAGGAAAAAGATGTCAGCCAACTGTGTTAAAGGAAAGTTTAACGTAAGTACTGTTTCCACTTGACATTAAAAGATAATCTCCGAGAATAAACATTGAATTATTTGCGTTCTTACGATAACACTTTGCGATATCCTTCTAAGCAGATTTTCTCAAAGACAAGCTGATTGGTTTAGGTCCATACAAACGGTAGTATTACCAACACAGCGCATACACGTACGTTGTCGCAAATTCTTAATCAGTGACAGCTTGAGCTTCCGGCCATTAAACGTCTATGAAGGTACCGGTATATTATGATGATATTTGATGGTAGCCGGTATCTATGTGAGCTTCAAATTCAGGTTACGACAATATTTTCTTGGCACATAAAATAGGCCATTTTAATTTTAATTTTTAATTTGCAGGAGATGCTTTGTAAAAATGACCACCGCAAACCCTTGGCCTTCTACAGAGATCTTATGAAGGTTTGCGGTACGCGTTTTGTTGGATCGGGCCTCGTAACTCAGCTCGACCCCATCAAACACGCCAAAAGAAGGGCCATGTTTAATCCTGCATTCCATCGCAAGTAAGATGTATACTCGAATTAAGCTACCCATAATTCCTATTAGAAAACAGACCAAATATTTAGCCAAAAATGGAGTTTATCGTTATGCAAATTAACGCATGATAATAGCAATTAAGAACAAGCATGCCACTACGCATACTAAGGTGGAATAAAAAAACAACGGAACCCAAAACCGACAAAAAAATTCATATTTAAAAAATATGTAGCACCAAACATAATAATGACTGGAAAATCAATTTCATAAGCTACTACTGATGTTTGAAGACAATTGTGACGACGATTCTTGAAATCGCATTTTTGGACGAAAGAGGTTTTAGGGTCATTGTGTTTAAACGGTGATATTCTTTGAACGGATGGAGCAATTTCAGTAATTTCTTCATCTAAAAGAAGCTTATGAAATTGGCGTTCCAGTCATTATTTTGTTTGGTGCTACATATGTTTTTAAATATGAAATATATTTTTTGGGGTTTGGGTACCGCTTTTTTTTTACTCACCCGGTATATCGTTGAAAGGACCAAATTGTATATTGTGGTGTGGCGTTTCTGAGAGAAAATGCCGGTCAGTCCCCTATGTAGCCTAGCACTTTTAGTGTCACTTCACCGACAGCTTTTTTTCCAAACAACTCTGCATATGATATCATTCCAAACACCGTAAAAATCAATGAACTTTTGTTTTGACAGATTTTTCCTACTTAACTATCAGTGTTATATTGTGAAGCGGAATAGGTGGGTGTGCTGGGGTGAATATGAGGTTTTTTCGAGGGGTAGGCCTACTTGGAGTACTCGCACAAGGGGAACAATGGTACCCCACAAGTTGGTCTTTGTCTGACCGTATCCCAAAAGAGGATAAACGGAGAACAATGTGAGAACCCAACAATCCCAGGCTGGCGGCGGGTAAAGTGGCGACGTTGCCTCCTCGCGAAGAAAATGAGGCGAAGCCTCGTTTAAGGAAATTTCAGATTTGCATAAAATTATATCCCATGTCAGATATCTGCAGAGCCTGATGGGCCAATTTAATGCGGGCGCAGATGTCTTGGTCGAGAAACTAAGCCAGAAGGCTGATGGGAAGACGGAGGTCGCCATGTTGGACGAGCTGAATAGAGCAACGCTAGATGTTATTGCTAAGGTATGGGCCACTAGCACTACCAGTGAACCTAGCAACGATTGAGAGCGTTCGCTGGTTCGCGCACGCTCTACACCACATACAATAACATACAATATACGTTGTACCAAGGTGAATAAGGCAGACGCCAATTTTATTGTGAAAATGGTTGAATGTTATCAAATTGCCACCGCTGTGGAGGTCGTGTGATTTTATGTGGCCGACCTTGTAATGTTGAAATAGTTTAGACTTTGGACTAATATTGGACTGTTGTCAAGAGAACTTCGTATTATAATTCCACGATGGCGATGTTCCAATATTGTAGACTATAACTAAAGGTTTAAACAGATTTTGTGAAATACCAAAGGGGGCAGTTTTTAATAAAACATTCTTAAAACTTGCTGTCAGACATGACTGGAAAATGTTAAACAACATTTTTGCTAATTTGTATATACATGAACTGGACAAGACAGTCTCTAATCAGACTTGGTATATTAATTTAAGAAATCGTTTACTCAAGTTCTGAATTACAACCCCTAAAACAGCAATTTAAAAAATATTCACAACCTCATGACTATATATAGGACTGTTTTAAAGAAGTATTCACCTCAAGTAAACCCCAAAATCAAGGACTATATTTTTTAATAATTTCCAAATATTGTGATTCTGTTAACTCTCTGAGAACTGTTCTGATTTAAGCCGATCATTTCAAGCAAAATGTTAACGCTCTACACCACATACAATAACATACAATATACGTTGTACCAAGGTGAACAAGGCAGACCCCAAAATGTATACTTTGGGCTAAAAAAAACAAAGTCTCCGGTTACTGGTATGCGCGCGCGTCGCCGTAGCAATGCGCGTCGGCAAAATGAAAAAGTTTTTTTTTTCAATGAAAGATGATGTCTCAAAACCGCCAAACTCACTGGTTTGACTGGAATCCTGCTGCTGCACAATTGTAACGTGTTTTTAGATTGGGTTATGGTCGAGAATAAGCTTTATGTGGCCTCTCTGGACTCCCATATATTTGCACTATTAGTCGGGCACCATTTGCAGATGACACATTTGAAGCAAAATAATCAGGTAAAAAAAAAAAAAAGCCGCGTCGCCGCACCACTTTTTGGGCAAGCTCCATACCAGAAACCGGAGACTTTTTTTTTGGCCTTGGCTACTAAGCCGATCATTTCAAGCAATATGTTTCGCCTTATTAACAAAAAAAATTGACGTTGGGATATTTCCATTCCCATTTGCTAATCCACTGGATTGTTTTCTTCTTCATAAAGGTGGCGTTTGATTTGGAGCTCAAACGAGAACCCGACGGAGATTACCCGCTGTACAGAGCAATGAAAACGATTCTTAAGGGCATGTCGGCTAGTTACGAAAACTCCTTCATTGAAGTGAGTATGGGCTCCGTGACGCGTGCACAAGTATTCATTCGACGGCCAGAAAAGGAGAGTTGGGGGAGACCTAGACATGTATTTCAAAAGTGTCTATAGTTATTTGGACGGGGATTAGTCTGGGAGACTTTGGCACATTCATGAAGTCGTTCGTACTTCCACGAACCAGTACAGTCCAGTACGCCCTATAGCGCTGTATGTTCCGTCTACAGAGCTCTCAAAAGTGGTAAAATGATGCGTCTTTTTTGTTGGCGCATGGAGCCCGTAGAGCTTATGCGTTGCAAGTGTCTCGGATGGTGTTCTTTGTTATTTCAGTTTACGATGCAAGCACAAAAAGTTTAGCCTATACTCCGACTGCGAGTTAACAACTCATGCCTCTTGACTTGGTTCCTAACAATAATACGCGTAACACAAATCTGGGATATCCAAATATCAATTCCGAATCAAATTTGAGTTTTGTCCATTCACAGCTCAGTCCATTCGCGGCCGACCGTCAACTGCGGCGGGAGGTTAGGCAGGCTATCCACGTAATCCGTGAACTGGGGCGGGAATGCATAGAGGGAAGACGGGATGCCATACAGAGAGGACAGACGGTCCCTCAAGATATCCTGACTTACATCCTTGAGGAGACAAAGGGACTGTCTGCAGAGGAGTCTATACCAATGGAAGACATGATAGATGAATTCACCACATTCTTTTTGGCCGGTAGGTTACTTAGCTGGCTTGTTATGCCTTTCATCGCACACTATCCAATAATTAAAAGAACTCATCGTCGAAATTGAATGATTTGGCCTTTTCCAGTCTATTGTGGTTTTTTTTCTCTCGAAGAATATCTGCATCGTGGTTGTTTTAATATAAAGTCTTAATTGTTGGGATGAATATGTAGACTTTATTGCTGGTGGTGGACGACTGCACACTGCACTGCAATGCTGATGCGATGTGCCCTCCTCTTGAAAACAAAATTCCACGGTCCGAACGTCTGTCTGCAGAGCCTTCAGAACGTCGGAACATATTCTTTTGAATTCCCCATTAATTGGTCATTGTGCAGAATTGACTTATGTATTGTGGTTAAAATCGTCGATTATAGTGGATTTATTGTTTGATTTCAGGCCAGGAGACAACAGCTAATCTGCTCAGCTTTACCCTGCTGGAGCTTGGCAATCATCCAGACGTTCTGCACAGGTCAGTTATAAAAACTGTTTACGCACTATCATATCAAGAGGAATCGAGCCTACACAAATATGATTTAGTCACGTGCCTTTCTTAACTCCAACAGAGTAAAAGGGGCACTTTGTTCGTTTGTCTTCAACTTTGTATCAACTCAACATTTTGTGCGACCACTTTCTCGACTTGCTTGCACATTGTGCTTGTTTGACACCTTGCATGTATACGGCTAAAGCCTTTCTGAACGTAATTCTGTACTTCGAGTTACTTTGCAAAAAGAGGCATGATGAGTTTTTACCAGCCGGCAATCGCTGGGAATGCTATGATCAGCAGTGTTTATATCACTCCAACCAGGGTACGCACTGAGGTACAAGCTGTGGTTGGAGAAGGACGTGTCGAGTATGAGGACATCAACAAACTAGACTACATGATGCAGGTGGGTTAAATGTCCTTGGGCAGTCCGTCGTTCAAATTGGAAAAATCTGATTGGCAATGTTCATACAAAACCTATGTCTAGGTATATAGTGAATTTCAAGTGCAGTATGCTGCAGATGAAATCAAATGCAAATTGTTGTTAAAATATTGTATGCGTGTTGGGCTTCCATATCCAGATTTACAAAAAAATATTCAATATTCGGTAAATGTTAAGTTAACTTGGAAAAAAATGTAGCTACAACTGAAACAGTTGCTGATGATTTGTGAATGACGTGTACATGCTTACCAAATCTGAGCCATTAACGAAATGTTGGGGGGAAAAGATTCAATCGAGATGGCGTCATATCTAGGCGCGAAATGCGCTATAAAACTGGCATGGGTGACTTTAGAAGATAGTTAAGGTGGCTGCTCGTAATATCTGTCAAATTTTGATTCATATACCCCCAAATATCTTACTTTCTTGTATTAGCATATAATGTTGGACCTGTTGTTGTTAAAAAACATTATTAGGGTCCGCGATTGAAAAACGTGTACAAAACCATTGACGGATTTTTCCAAAAAGTTTAAACCCTATAGGAGGACAAAAGGAGGTCCACGATTGAATGCGTGTTCACTGCACTTGCAAAATCCACAATGTGCCCAATTAATTGTGTTTTTGCGTACTTCCAATGTTTTTATTGGCTGAATTCGTAATTTGTTTCTTCCCTGATTCATGTCTGTATAGGTGTTGAAGGAAACTCTGCGCTTATGGCCTCCAGCCACCGTCACCAGTAGAGAGATGTCTTATGACGTCACTGTCAACGGTTTCAAGATACCTGCAAAAACATCCGTCGTGGTATGGCTGGAACCGATTGTACTTTGATCCTTTCCTTATTTTAAATTGATGTCTATAATTAGCCTTTCGTTAGAAAAGTTTATAACCAAACACCTTACGATGGCAATAGGAAATTCATACTGAAGCGAAATGTTCCTTTTTTCAGACGAGTACCTACGTTATGGCCAGAATGGAGAAGTATTTCCACAACCCACTGGAATTTGATCCTGATCGTTTCAAGATTAGCGAAACGTAAGCACGGCATTGTATGGTTTTTTGTGCGTCTTTTTTTTCTTCAAAGTAAACCATGGCCATTATTAGTATTTGGTAAAGGTCGTATGATAACATGCACGCGGAATAAAATCTTGCTCCAATATAATGGATCAGCTAACCACATAAATTCGTTAATCACAAAAACTACCTGCTTCACTAAAACAGGTTACAGATCAAAATGCTATGCAGTGTTTACTGCTGGTGAAAAGTTGAGCGAATTTGTGCTCAAAACATAAAATGTGTAAGCATTGTTTCTGTGAAGTTGGATCCTGTTGTTTTGCAGCGATAGCTGTCCCGGTCCGATCCGATGGACAAGCACTATTTGTTATCTTTTTGGTAATGGAAGCGATTGCAAAACAAAGTTGGTGTTGGTGATTTATGCATGACTTCATCTTTCTTCTGGATGTCTTTTGTTTCAGACGGCCCGGATCTTACATCCCCTTCTCTTTGGGTTCGAGATCTTGCATCGGCCAGCAGTTTGCACTGGTAAGCCTACATGCATTCGAATCGTGAACACCGTGACGCATTAGAGATTGTGCCCAACCACTTCGTGCATAAGCTGACTTTTGAATTGTTTGCAGACTCACCTGTCTATTATATTACTTTCAATTCAGGATGGTAACGGATTTAATGATGAACCTACAGAATATGAACACGTTGGCATCGAGATCGAATCATTATAAAATATAGGTATTGAACTTGTTAAGCTCTGGCAGGAGTTTCTACAAGTCACTTTAGTGTTGGTCGGCTGTCGGTCGGCTGTCGGTCGGCTGGCTGTCGGTCGGTTCCCGAAAAATTGACCAAAATATTTTACCAAAATTGAGCAAATGCCATGCCGTCGTCTGTAAATTCACTCTAACAATTGTCTGTAACATTTTGCAAAGTTTAAGTTGTAATCAGAGGCAACGTAGGTACATTAATGTAAAAGTCACGCGGTAGTTTGTGTAGTGGTTGGACGGTATCCAGAAGGAGGAAATGAACATTTACCAACGGTGTTCCACGGCCGCGGCCCGCGCGTTTGTACTCACAATCCTTTCATGCAAGACTTCCATGCAAGACTTTCATGGAAGACGGCCACAGCTGAGGTTTATTTTCTGTTTACAATAGTCTGGGGTAAACAATTTTCTGACCACTTGAAACAATCCTTTCACTCACGTACGTATAACCTCTGTATACGTATGCTGTATATAGTACACAAATTCACTAAATCTATCGAGTAACATCCAATGGAGCAGTGGAAAAGATTAGGGCTCGCAGTAAGAAGGTCCGAGATCGAGTCCCATCTAGATGTCTAATTTTTACTTATTTTCAAAAGTTTCCATTTTCCCCCAACAACTGTTCTTTGTAAGTCCGACAATAATTTTTTAGCAGAATTTGTTTGCTGAATCAAGGCTCCGGAGGATTCATTTGAAATGGAAGCTAATTCCAAAATGTCATTAGGCTATTTCGTCTGAATATAAGTGCCCGCATTTTATCATTTGTTATAATAGATGGTTAGCTAGTTTGCATGATGCGTATACCACCTTCAATGATATACATGTACACCATTTCTTTTTAACATAGTTTTGTTTCACACCTTCTCTAGATTGAAGCACGGGTTCTCCTGGCAAAACTACTGCAGAAGTTCAACTTCACCCTCTTACCCGGCCAAGAACACGCCCTCCTTGAAGACATTACATTAAAACCAAAATACGGATGTAAAAACTACATCACATTGTTAGAATGAATCTTGGCATGTTAATTACATTGAGGCCTATGTACTCACAGGTGCAAGGCAGATTGAACCATTCCACCGGTTATATACAGTCGAAAAGGTCCTTGGGACTTAACGAATTACCTTGTTATAACAGGTACCTTGTATTAACAGTATTGGGAAAACAAAGGAAACCAAAGAAAAACAAACACTTGGGACCTAAAAGTTTGCTTGTTATAAGCAGGACCTTGCTGTATTAACATTGCTCTTCTTATCAGGGTTCAACTGTACTGTTAAAAATGCATGGTTAGTACAGTTTATTACTGACTAAAAGTTTCACGAAACACTCACTAGCTTAGGGGAAACAATGACAGTCAATTGCTCTTTGCCAGTATATGAAACTGTACTAGGACTTTTAGATATGTTAAATGCAAATTGACAGATCTTTAAGAAGCTTTTGCTGATTATTGTTTTGTGTTCGTAGTTGGGAAAGGAAGTAGTCCGACGAGACTTGTTAAAATTACTGACTTAATGTTTTAAGAAATACTTAATACATGTATACGGTGTGGATTTATTTAGTTAGTACTTTAGGATATGTAAATATTAATGGGCAAATCATGTAGCTTGTGTGTGTGTTAGTTTTGTGTTAGTATAGTATTGCAAACAAGGGGACTAGATATCTCATCCTTGTAAAACTTACGATTAGATGCAGTCGAAAAGCTTTACTGTTAACTCTGCCATCTTTCAGAACCTAAGTGGGGGTACTTCAATTTTTAAAATACATCTTTTCTAAGGATATACGTAATTTTCTTTCTGACAAATCAAAGGTAGCAGTGTAAAAATAGGGGGAAATAATAATCTGCAACCCAAAATTTGGATGATTTTGGACAGCAGTCCTAGAGTTTCCAAACATTTTTTCCCTCCCATTTCGCTAGATGTTGTTTGATGCTGTTTGACAATATTCAATTAAAAGCTTTACTAAAGGTTGCTATAATAGAGGTTGCTATTATAATACTAAACGAATGCTTAATTTTTGAAGATTGCTATACTAAAGTAAATGCTTAGTTTAATCAAAAATTATTTGAATCAATCTTTACTTGAATTGTGCCATCACTGTATGAATACCTAATGTATAAGAATGAAGGCTGGCACAATGTGACTCTATAATCTCAGATAGGGCATAAGTGGGGAAAAAAGTGTAGTTGTTTGGAGTAGTATTGTTATGATCGGGAAAACATTGCAAAACGGTTTTGTATTCCAACAATCTCTGGAAAACTTTTTGAAAAATCCTCTCGTTTATTGAAGGAACTTTTTTTGCTTGGATATTATTAGTCGTGTTGAACAGCCAACAGAGTGCAACTTTAACTTTTGGTTTAACTTTTGCGTTATTTTCTCCCTAGGCTTTTCTAGTGAACCAATCAGTGATCGAGAAATGTTTCATTTGCTCGCCCGACGGTTGTAAACATACGGGCTAAACGTGGGGTGATCAAGTATCATCGCTAATTATGCAACGCTGGCGGTTCGTAATGTATCCAAACAAAATCAAGTTGTAACTGAAAGATACCACGAGTTACTCTGAACCTGAGGGCGAAAAAACTACATGTTCTCCATGCACAATGGGGTTTTAATTTGAAGTAATAGTTTTTAGGCCTATGTTCAAATCATACTCGAATTACACTGAAAAATTGTCTGGGTTTATTTTACCAAAAAAATGGTGAAAACTGGAACTACACAAACTTGGGTTGTTCTATAACCAATTGTTTGGGTTAGAATTAATGTTAAATTCAACCAAAAGTTGTAGTCATACAAGACCAAATTAAATTTAAAATTGGGTAAAATTAACCAAGGCAATTTTTCAGTGTACGCACGGAAATCATACTAACAATATCCCACTTCGAATTAGTTCAAATACTGCTGTAAAATGACACAAACATGTATATATCCTGGCATGGGCTTGCAGACTTGTATTATACTTGTACTTCAAACAAATAAAAAAATTCTCCAGAACAGATGTTGATATCTCAGAGATATTTCTTTGACAGCAACAACTTTTTACCAACTCTCCTCTCCACCTCATTAACCACCTGCATACAGCAGTAGAAAGCGACGGTGATGCCAAGAATATTCCAAGGCCAGTCTGTTATCATATGGGAGGAAATAAAATGAAATGTGAATATTCTGTAAAAAAAATTATTGAAATTGAAATTGAAATTGAAATTGAAATTGAAATTGAAATTGAAATTGAAATTGAAATTGAAATTCACATTAACATTCACATTCACATTCACATTCACATTCAAATTCAAAGTTATTTCCAGGTACATGTACACGTAAAGCAAATACTCAATAGTAAATAAGGTTCCACAAAAGTCGCAGGATCACTTCCCAGTTCATTCAACTCTTTTGTTGAACTGCAAACTGACGAAAAACATTCCAACTTACCTTTAAAGATCATCGAATAGACGAAGTATCTTGTCTTGCTTGGTCCAATGACAAAGACCAGGTTAGACACAGCCAGGAAGAGATAATTAGGCACAGCACAGGCAGCGTAGAAACGCCTCAGCATCGCCGGGGACATGCTCTTCTGTATGTAATAAAAAGACACAAAATTAAGTTTGCACCTGATGAAACCTTTTAAAAGGACATGCTCTCTAAATCCCAGAGAGTGAAATTTGGGACTAGACGTTTTAGAGTGAAAATCACTCTCATGTTCGCTTGAAATAATCTGTAAAAGAACCACTTCAGTCGAAGCTCGAGTGAAAACTCGATCCTTACGATTGAAAGAATTTTACTCTTATAAACGCCTTGTCCCTAGTTTCCGACTGTGGAAGTGAGTGTCCACTCGAATGGAGTGACTTTTTACTCTTGAAATTTAGAGAGTGATGAGCTCTATGTAGCGCACTAAGTTAAGAAGAAAGTTCAATTATGGTTAATTTGGCCTTATATTGAAGCCGAAGTCTGACCAAGGTGGGTCATTAACGAATTATTTAGTTCGCAGAGCCGGTGACCTACACGTATATTCATTACACAGTTAACAAACATAATGCTTAGGCCCCCATGTTAAAAAGATTCACAGCATCACAAAAGATACCTTATCTCTAATATCCTGGTGTGATTTAAGCAAAATCCTTTTCATACATGCATTACCTTTGATGGATGCACGGTTCAAACGTTTTCAGCTATAATGCAATTTTTAAGCAGATTTGCTTTTGTTTGGCTCTTTTCGTCCCACAATACATTTTTGTTCGGTGAGACCTCTCCACAAGTGCTTTAGACCCTGGTCATCCGATGACATTAGCAACATAACAAATGTACTTTGAGCTCGGAGTCTTGATTTTGAGTGTTCTCTGATTCTGTAACGGTGATAATTACCGGTCATTCTCTGTTTCTTGGTCTCTCATGTTGTTTTCAGTATTCCCTTTCAACCTCTACTTTTGCCATATCGGTGACTCGAAATGTAATCTGCAATTAGTCTTCCTTTCTTTCCCCGGGGGACAAAGCCTCTGCTCAATTGAGATTTAGGACTACTGAGATTCTACAATTGATTGTCAGTTGGTTCGTCATAAGATAAATCAAAGATCCGACCGTGCACGTCGTACTCTTCCGTCAACCTCAGCGGTTGATCTATTTTAATTCAACGGCTGTTCTACTGCCAAGGCTAGTGCTTTTCCTCCCTATATTGTGACATTTGCCCTACCCATCACTTTTGTTGTTTTAACGAGTTCATTTAATATTGTTTCAATAACGATTCTGTCATGTTTTATGTTTTAAAGAAATAATCAAAGTAGTACATCTCCTCTCTGATATTAGGTTCCTCAATCCTCTTTTTCCAATAAAAGGTAGAGTTTGGTGCTAAATAAGACCAGCGTTTATTACTTTAAGGTTAATTTCTTCAGCGTGCTCCCACATTAAGCGTCAGTGAGGCTGAGGGTGAGAAGTTTCCTTGCAGAAATGTTCCTTGCGCCTAATCAGCTTATGCCATAATAACAATTTTGATTTATCTTTAAAGTGCTATCTTCTCTATATAACACGGTTGTATACATCCTAAATCACATATATACCTTTTATTTTATCTGGAGATATTCTTATTAAAATTTGGTTTTGGATTTACTTGAAATGTGTTTTCACCTACGCATTCTTTAATCACTGCGTGGTCAAACCGTTGATAATGTGGGCAAGTCCTGGTCGCGATACATTATTAATCATAGCGACCATCTTGACGGTTGCCCAGTACCGTAAAAACAACGCCCTCGAAGTTACATATAAAGCAATGGATGACAAATTTGACACGGTCTGAAACATTGGCATCTTTTCAAACCGACAATTAATTCGATCGCACTACCTAAAGCCACACCCCAACCTACAAAAGTGAGGGACCCAGGCTGTGCCATTTTTTTCTTGCACAAGTAAGAAAGCCTTTCACATAAATTTGATGTGTACGGAACCTCGTTAACAATTACATGTAAATGAAAAACATGCAAAAACATTAGCGTTTGATTCATCACCTCTGGTTTACTTCTGTTCCTCACCAGAACATTTTATATGTCACTTATTCTTAAAAGCATATCAGTCACAAAACTGCCTGTACTATTTGCAATAGGCCTATCTGTCTTTTTTTTTACTTATCAAACTAATTGATCATCACGTTTCTGGGTTAATGGCAAGGCACAGACTGCAGCGCACTCAAGATTTTGTTGACATTGTGGTAAGTGCTGTTTAACGTGAGCGGGATGTGACCGATCGCAAGGTGTACGTTGTTTTGGTGGAACATAATTAAATGAGCTATCCTCAGACACCTTCCATGATAAATTAACTTCCAAAAAGGTCATGCTCTATAAATGTAGTTTGACGGTTTGCACGTTCGGATAATAAACAACTCGTGTTCTTCTAAGCACACATTTGGCATGGCAGAAGCAACGTAGAATTCATTCAGTTCAAACGTGAATTTGTATATAGGAGACTCATCCCACGCCTTCAACAAACCGTCTCTTGCCAGTTCTCTTTTGGAAGCATGGTAGACCTACAGGCCGACAAACTTTGGTGAATGAGCACAACTGTAACTCATAATTACGTTCAAAAACAAAATTTGGACATTTTTTTACAGGTTATGCTGCTGATTTACGAGACACGTCGCTAAAATGGATACTTCATTAAACTCAACGCTACACTCTCCATTAGTTCATAAACCTGACTTTACAAAAGCAACAGTCCTTCTGGTCTACTTTATTCTCATCGTCACACTAGGTGTTTCCGGTAACTGCCTCATTCTCCGCGTGTACTGGGGAAAATCCCACAAGTCTAGTACCAATATCCTCATCATGGGCCTCGCCCTGGCCGACCTGATGGTCTGCCTGGTGCGACCGTACGAAATCGCTTGGTTCTCTTCTTCTCTAACTAGTGGCAACGTGCCGTACCTCTTTCATCAATTGGACTGTTGGGACTACACGACTATCGGTACTTCTATCGTCATCACTGCAGTAATTGCAGTGGATCGGTACGACTGTATCTGCCGACCATACCAACGCATTATGACACACCGATGGGCTAAGAGAGCCCTGTTAGCTGCTCTAGCTTCGTCTATAACGGTGAATATTCCGCTTTATATTAACACATCTCTGAAAAACAATTCTCTGCCTCCACTGACTTTTGCGATGTACGCACTGCAGGTACTGATGTTTGTGACTGCTCTTGTGACGATCTTAGCACTTTACAGCAAAGTTTTCTTCACGATACGCAAACACGTCAAAATCGGCATTGCAAACCCAAGAAATGTTCAGGATGGTAGACATCAGGGAAGGTCTACATCAGCGCAAGATTCCTTAGCCAGCGCATCTGTGTCGGCTCGCGTGTCTATGAACGAGGTTAATTCTGTTCGGCCAATTTCAACTGTTGATTCGGAACAGGTCAGTGGACAGAAACGCTGGTCAAACAACCGTGAAGTGACCCAAGGCAGTGACGGCCCAACAGGGAGCAGAGCAGCTGGTGCTGATGAGGCAAACATCCGTGAGAATCAAGCAATGCGAGGTTTTACAAGGCCTCCCCGGGTACCGCAACAAAGACGTATACAAGCTGCAACTTCACTGCAGCGCCGTACCACTACTATGCTCTTCATCACCAGTGTGGTCTTCCTGTTCTCCTGGTTGCCATATTGGGCCTATCGGATCTGTCAGGCATTTGGAGTGGACTCCGAATTTCTAGACATCTCACTCAACTTTCTTTATTTAAATCATGCCATCAATCCCTTTATCTACGGGGTCGCTAATAAAAAGTTTCGGACAGATTGTAGAGATGTTCTCCGTAAGACTCGACAACGTTTTCATCTTCGGTTTTGAAAATATCGAACCTTCTTTCAGTGAAGTAACGCGTTGAAAGTGATTATCTCCTACAAACGTTTCAATCCAAAACACAGACGACGTATAATTAGAGTGAGAACACGTAACTTTGAAGTGAGTACATGTAAAAGGGGTGTCCAGAAGAATAAAAGTCTTTGTATACAGGAGTATAATGAAAAACAGAACCTTGGCCTAAGCGCACTAACACTGTTTATGTAATTCGATTCAACAATGAGAGGAATTCAGTCATAAATGCACATGCGTTTTTATTTATTATGTTTAACACTCCGAGTATTTGGCCCAAAAAATTATAATCATTTTAAATGAACAAGAACTAACAATACTTGAATCGAGTCTTGGAGTCCTTTTTGGAAAAATATGTATACATTTTGTTTCATGCATGCATGCATTTGTAGGTTGTGCTTCAATACACTCATAACACGGCTAGATTCCTGCGACACATACCTTGAATCAAAGTCCCTGGGACTCAGGAAAAACTTAGTTACAAGTCTTGTATAAATGAATATGATTATCAATGCGGTTGAAATATAACTAAAGTTATGCTCACTATCTTGCTCACTCCTTAAGGAAAACATTTCTCGATCAGTATTATGCTCTAATAATGTTTTAGGGGTTAGTAAATGTACCAAAATGGCTTAATGGTCACTTTGAAAATTGCTTTCGTTATTCTGCGGAACCCAAGGCATTCATTTTAAGAAGCGCGAAGAATCCAACAAAATCATAAACTGCTCATTGTGTGGTTATATTGCGCAGGGTCAAGTTAGTAATAATAAAATAATTTTAAAAAAATGTACTCTACCTGAAGTTTTTGTAGAGGTCCAAAGTAGCGACTGAATGCCAAAGCAGCAACCTCAACCTGAACACCGATCCAGTTAAGCAGGGCCCAGGTGAAGTAAATCTGGCCTCCTCCGTGCCAGAATGCCACAAAGAGGAAACACACGAGGGCTGCAAGGGATTGACGGAGAGGGCCATGCTGAGAGCCGCCCAGGGGAATGTAGATGTATCTACAGACAGGATCGGAAAGAGAGTTACAGAGTTGTAGTCAAAGTCATCATGCACAAGTGAATCGCAAGTCACGCCATAAGCTATGGCAACAGAGGCTCAGTTGCGTGTGATTGACTTGTGATTGACTAATGTTTCGACTTGTCATGTTTGTAGACGAGAGAGTAATAAAGATTACGTCCAATCTACTCACACCAAGCACATTAAGATAAAATTATTACGTTGCATTGCAATTAAGTATATGTTCATGCTGTCAACATTCCTGCAACAGTCAGGTTCACTCATAATATTTGCACAAAAATAGTGTTCAAATTAATTTTAACTGAAACCTTTCAACAACAACAAAAATATATACGAATAGTACACGTCATACAAGTACCATACTCACTTTGTTAACATGGCATTTAGCCCCCTATCAAAGTATCTGTAAGAAGAAATAACACAAGATATTATTATGTAAATGTGTATAGTGCTATTTCATGGAAGGTCTATATCCACGAGCAGCGATTGTCAGGTGCAATAATATAATGTTTAGTTATGCCACACACATAATTATTTCACATTATAAACACATGCTGTGCACATAATATGTACATGTAGACACAAAAAGTTCGTGCAGCATTATTACGAGAGGCAATCAAACAGTGGTATTTACTAGCAGTTTTACTAGTTCCGTGCATGTGAATTGTTTTCCTTTTGCTGAAAGAACGCTCACTTTTTAGTGATCCGTGGACAGGACTTTAAAACGGTGTTTGTGCTTAAAATTCTGTAACTTGAAAAGAACATGGATTGATTTGAATGATTCTTGTATTAAAAGAAAGCTGACATTTGGGTTTACTTTATTTGTTGACTCACCATGTATTGATGTGAGTGAAGAGCAATTTATTCGCGCCAGGAAAACCCCTGACAGAGGCAACTTCTCTAGCTAGAGGCCTGTGGATTTATGTTGTGTAACAGTTTTTATGTCAGTTCTGTCAGGTGTTTCTGCACAAGAGTAAAATGATGGACCATTTTAGATAGACAAAATATTCCATTCACCTCCACATGTCCCTGAAAAAGTGAATACTGAGAATGCAGATCGGCGGTTGAGGGACGTCAATGCGGTCGAATAATGCAATGATTCGGGAAAAGCTGTACGGCACAAACGTCGACAGTTGGAAGAAGAACAAGTGATACAACGCCAGAAAGCCTGCAGAAGGAAAATCAGAAGCCAGGGTTAATGGTTCATTAATGGATTTTTCACTTAATACCAATGGTGCTGTCCAACAAGGGCGGATCCAGGACACAATTTTTTGGGGGGCCCAAAAAATTTTTGGTCCCCCAAAAAAAGTGGGTCAAAAAAATTACGGCGTGGGGTTCGGGGCCCGCTTAAGGGCCCCGAAAATTTTTTGGATTCTAGATGCTCTGTGGTGCGATCTGAGGCAATTTCTGACCACTTTACCAATGTTTTTTGAGGAAAAGATGGTGGTGTGCTCATTGCCTGCCTTTATTGCGATGTCACATAAAAAAAAAAAAAAATTGGTTTCGTTTTTTTTGGGGGGGGGGCATGGCCCCCTTTGGCCCCCCCCCCCCCTGGATCCGCCCTTGCTGTCCAAAGGCTTGTAAGAAAGTTACAATCTTGCTCTGGCGGGATTCCAACCCACAACCTCCTTTACTCCTGATTCATGTCATTATTTTTTTCCGTTAGTTTTTGAGTGTCTTTGATTTAAACACTTGTTCTGTCATTATTTACTTTCCCTTGATTTTCACCAATATGGAAATAAATGTCAAATTGAATTGACTTGAATTGAATTGAATTGCAACGATCGGCTATAGTCCATTAAATTCCATACTGCTGCATGAAATCTAAATGATTATTGACGAGTCTAAGTTTTTGCAGTGAAAGCTACTTGTGGTACAAAAAATCTATTGGTATCGTTTGCATAAGAAATTGTCACAAAGAGTTTTGAGCCAAAGTAACAATGTGGAAAAAACAGGCTTCAAAGCTGTTCCTATATTTTTTTCAGTTAAACATAGTTAAAAGTACATGAACGTACTTAGATCCTTTGCATCAAGGGTCGTCAGTGTTTTGTAGTGATTTGTCATCGCACCAAAATAAAGAAAATGAGTGATGCCTTCCGTCAGGGCAGCCCAGATCACACATCTGATAATCTCTATACAAATCATCTTGAGTTCCTTCCCAGACAGAGGTTTGACTTCTACATTGATCTGTAACATCAAACACATGTAATACCAAATCAGTGGAGTCCACGTTCTGACATTACATTTACAAAGGGAATATCATGATCCACTCCCAATTCTGACGTCATCATAAGTAACTAAAAAATAAAAGTGCTGTTCGTCTGCCACGCACCCTCCCTCCAAATTAATGACTGTAAATATCATTTCATTGCACTGTTATTACCATTCACAATCAGCTTTACAAACGGTCTTCGTGTTAGAACCAGAGATCAAATCCTTTAAGCTCTGCTAAATGACGTTTGATCAATTTGCGCAATTTGTCTTCTAAAATCTTTGGTCTGAGAAACGTACAACATACAGTGCACTTTTGCTTAAAGCGACCGGCTAGAAATTGCAGTGTGGCACTGGGGAGACGCGCAGACAGTTGCCTACAATGAGTAGAGGGCCAGGCGTAGGACTATATTCGGAGGGGTACATTTATTACTAAAAAAAAAAATCCCTGGTCAGATTGACCAGGGCTCCGGGTTCTATTTGGCATGCCACTTTTTATGTGTCAACATGGACACATTTCTAGTCAAAGTGATACTTCTCTTGCTCTTTTCCAGGGTCATTTTGACCTGGAAATCTTGGCAAAAGTGTCATTTTGAAATAGGAAAGTGTCATTTTAACCCAGAAAAGTGTCAGGTCTTCTAGAGCCCTGGTCAAATCCAGGGCAGGGACTTTGTCATTTCCAATTTACCGCTTAAAGGCAGTTTCTTCAGCACGGTAGGGAACTCACCTGAGCTAGGAAGGTGTCATAGCTTACAAGAGGCCCATATGGAAACACTGGTAGGTAGAAATTGAAGAGTAGCAGATCAAAGAGGTTGTAGCCAGTCGAGGGCTTCTCCGCCTTGCTCTTGCGGCAAAACTCCAAACCAAAACACAGAAGGCGCAGGGAGCTTATTAAAATGCACACAGTTCCATCCTGTGTGTTACCAAGATATCGTTCCTGCAGAAGAGATTTGAATGGATAAAGGAGCATAAATCAAGGTTCAAATGTGAACAGATTTGATTATAACATTTTCATAATTAAGTGCTATTCACAGGCGATTCAAACCAATTCATAATTGTTCACCTTTTTTTTTTTTAAATAGTGGCTATTTAACAAACCTGAATTGTTATGATGGGGTCAACAAGAACTGAGGAAATTGCCAGCAGGACTGTAGCCCAGACTAGCATCTGCCTTCTGGACTGGGAGACTATATACACTATGAATGAATGCAGCAGAAGGACTCCTAAAACCTTGATGCCTAAACCCAGGTAAATCCACAGCGTCGAGAATAGCAACATGAACACCTTCCTAAACTGAAGAGAGATAAAATAAGAGTCAGGAAAAAGAAGACAAATTCAATCGTGGCACCGTGGTCACCGACACCACGAAGTAACACTGTCCGCTTCTAATCAGTGTTACTTCGTGAAAACCGCTTAATGACAAATGTAAGTTTCACGAAGTAATTATTTAAGTGTGCGAGCACATCGGACACTGGCGCGAACGATTTTCGTGTTCACAAAGTACTGTTGCGGAAGTACTATTTGGTTGAAAAAACCATTTTAAAACGTTTGACAAGAATGTGATTAATCGGTATTCTTGTAGGATTACAGAAAATTTTAATAGAAAACCCTTAAACTGGTGAAATAAAGATGAGAAATGCTTCATGAAAACGAAAATGACCGATTCAGCGCAGTGTACATGAGTATTACTTCGGGTGTCGCTGACGATAGGATTAATAAGACTGACCATATTTTCATCGACTTGGGAAGCAATTAAACGTAGTCTTTCATAATTAGTTGATGTCCATTTTAAAAACTGGCCTATCACAGTAAAAAGTATTCATTTTTTCTTTCTTTGCCCAAACTACAGCTTTCTGCGCGTGCAAATGCTCCAAAGTCGGGCTAAGGAGAATTCAAACTCTTTACAATTGAATTGAAAAGTTCAGGCAATTTCTTACATAAAGTGAAGAGGAACATTCTAATCTTTGCCCAAATGCTTTCAGGATTGCTTTGCATCACATTGTGCAAACATGTACATGGAACTGTAACATTCAAACGTGAAAATTCGAGTTCTTTGTAATTCAAGCAAAAACAGTTCTCCTTCTGAAATAAGGCCACTAACAGAGATTCAGCATTGCCAGACATCAGGCATTCCAGACCGTTTGTAAAGTTCAAATGAGCACATACCTGAGGAGCAAGCAATACAAGTTGACCCAAAGTGATGTAGGCGATGTAAGAAAGTACCACTGATGGTCTTGTCATTGTGACAACAAATGCTGTCCACTGGTCATGTGAAACATCCTGTAAATGATAAACCAACGATCATACAGTATTTTGGTTTTTTTATGATATCAAGTTGAACAAAGAAGCATGACTCCACATGAAGACTCTAGAATACCGAACCGGCTCACTGCCACTTGAGTTACATGTGCCCTTGGCCTGTGGTGGTTGTCCTCAAATTGGCAATGTGCATTGTTTTAGGCCAAAAAAAAAGTCTCCGGTTTCTGGTATGCGCGCGCGTCGCCGTAGCCATGTGCGTCGGCAAAATGAAAAAGTTTTTTTTTCAATACTATATGATGTTACAAAACCGCCAAACTCACTGGTTTGACTGGAATTCTGCTGCTGCACAATTTTAACGTGTTTTTAAATGGGGTTATGATCGAGAATAAGATTTATGTGGCCTCTCTGGACTCCCATATATTTGCACTAAGTTTAGTCGGGCACCATTTGCAGTCATCAGCCGACATTTGAAGCCCAAAAAAAAAAAAGAACAGGTAAAAAAAAAAAAAAAGCCGCGTCGCCGCACCACTTTTGGGGCAAGCTCCATACCAGAAACCGGAGACTTTTTTTTTTTGGCCTTATGGGGGAAAAGGTAAAAAGCTATTAAACTGTGAATGCTGAAATTTGCTCAAAAGTTCAACTCCAGATAATTGAGTTTGCAAAATAGCTTTTTTGTAGTTGTCACGCCAAACCCTAAATTACTCAGAATGATGTTTCTGAATACGGGTTACTAAATCTTTTTAAGCAGTAAGGTACATTTCTGTATGAAATACAACTAATATTACCTTCTTTCGTTGTCCAAAAAGTGACCAGCCATCACTCAAATACTTTAAGTTGAATGCTTTTTCTATTGACAAGGAACAAATACAAATACAATAAAAAAAAAATAAGACACAAAACAAACTCACTATATTATTACAATTAACATTACTTTACTCAGTCTAGAAGTGCATTTTGAAATAGTACACAGCCTTTCCTTTGTGATATTAAATATATGGAAATGTGTATGATAAAGCTATGAACGACAAGAAGAAGGAAATTGTGGCAAAGAATACTTAACAATTTATTTTGAGAATGAAAATCACACAACTAGAATGTTCAAATACTTTAGCTTGAATTCTGTATATTACTGACAGTCACAAAACGTCGTTACCTTTTGATAGTTGGTTAATATGTTGGTGAATATAGACGAACAGGAAGGCGATCACTCCTGCATACACGAGCAATTCCTGAGATGGTAACGCTGCATGCTGGTGCAGCGATACGTGTGGCTTGGTGGACCCTGTCTCCTTCAAAGAGCCCCGCCCCTTAAGAGGTTTACCTGAGCTCGATCGGTGTAATGGTCTTCGCTGCAGTGGGAAATTTGCATCCCAGTGGATTCCATTGTCAGACAATGAGGCAGGGTGTTTGCTGTCTTTGTCGTTTCTAAGTGCTGAGGCTTGGGGTTCAGGCTCAATTTGGATGTTGGCTGCCATGTTATAATGTGCTGCGTGTGGACACGAAAGAAAACTTCGTCATTTCTGTATACAGGCATGGGTGTCGTCAGGATCTTTTTCTAGAGGGTGGCAAAACATATTTTCCCCAAAAATATTCCTGTATTTCTCAACATATTCTCGATTTATCAGTTTTCGAGGGGTGCAGGGACATCCCCCCCCCATTGAATTTACACCAATATGACTTCGCGCCTCTTTTTCTTTTCTTTTTTTGGGTCTTTTTTTCGCTTTCCTTTTTTTTTGCTTTTCCAGGGGATGGGAGGGGGGCAAGCGTCCCCCTTGCACCCCCCCCTCCCCGTGACGTCCATGTGTACAGGCTCTGGTTTCTGTGAAGTTCAATTCATATATTTTTTCCACTCATTCAATTCAAAATTAATGTAAAGAATAACCTACATGTCAACTTACAATAAGTGGTTGAGGTCTCCAAAAAGTTGTGAAACGGCGACCGGACCACCGTATTGTGTTTGTGTACAATACAGACAATCGATCGTATATACACAATATAACTTATAAGTTAAGAGATACAAAGTTTAAAGGACATCAGAGTGACACAAGACAACATCATTATATTTACAAAACGAACTGGATCCTCGCCCATTATTCTTTCATTTGTATATCACTAAAATCATCTTACGATGTGATTACACAAGGATGCAAACCTCTTCACATAACAAGTATTGAATCGAGAAAACTGTATTTTATTTACAAATGAAGATGTACGTACAAATATAAAGCTAACTTTTAGATAGATCTTGGTGATTCCCTAAAGAAATATAATTACTTGCACAAACCATGGCTGCGCTTAATATGCATCCTCACCTTAAATCACACAGTGAAAGGATATGAAGAAAACAAAATTACATGAAGTTATATTTCGATGGTACCAGATAGCGAAATTGCATTGGTTGCGATATATTCAAGTACCGGTAACGTATTTCAGAAATCTCACCGTGATGGACTCCGCCGAAGTATCGCCTAATGAGCATAGGGTACACCAGTGCTCGTTCTCAAGCACCTCTTAATCTTTCCGAGGCCTGCTGCTTGCACAGCAACAAAGCAAGAGTCGAGAATAGCGCGGCTGGGGCGAGCGTGTACTTTACATGCGTTTAAAGCAGTGACCGCGTTATGGGAAGGTCTTAATTGTTGCGAAGTTTGGTATAATTGTTATGCAGATTATATATGACCAAAGCTTGACCTCGCCACTAGAAATCCGTATAAGCCGGGTGTCAAAGCGAAAGGAAAATCTTGTTTTTACCTATCCTGATGTCATCCAGTCGATGAATTTTGTACAATGATCCTAGATCTATGGTACAACCACGGTCAAAAGAAAAACGCCATATCCATCACAAACATACAATAATGTAACTGGTCTTGTATGTACTAGTTTGCTTGCAAATGTACTTTGTGTTTACAATAGGTACGCCTACATGCATGACATGACCACAGCCGAAGTGTCTGTTCTGAATAAGCCTAAATGCAAACACACAATGCACACGAGCTAGCATACAAGCCGTGGGTCTCTCGGCGGGCTATACAAACATATAATGCAGTTGTTGTGAGATGCGTGTTCTACCCGGTTAGCACCGGTGCACCATGGGTTAGGGTTAGCAATTACGCACGTGTTCAAAAATCTTCTGGAAATTTTAACGGAGCTTTAGACAGCTCTTGGATTAGCCAGCATAGTTAGAGACCATGTGAGTCGTGGTTAGTTGTAAAAATAAACTTGAAGAACAATCTCACTAAGCCATCCCCCCGAAGTTTTCCAGACTTAGTTTCAAAGGGTGTCAGTTTGCCCAGGCTATAAACAAATTTAAAGGTATTATATCGAGTATCTGCACAAAAACTCAGTCCTATAACACTTTTTTTTATTCCTCCATATTAAGAGCAATTACAGCTGCTCTTAATTGTAATGCCGACCATATTTAATAACTGTGGCACAATTACGCGACAAGGAAATTCGTAAACTACGTTTCGGTGTGTCTTGGTCTTCCACGCACGTATATACGTCTATGATGAGAAAAGAAACAAACCGTGAAAATCAGATACAAGACGGACCACAAGCATTAACTGACATATGGTTTTTCATCGCGAACTCTTGACTTATACCTCTCAAATTTTGATCCCGGGCTGGGATCCAGGAAACTGCACAATTAAAATACGGTGTGTTTGTATATTTGTCATGTCCAGCTAAGAGTTTGTGGGAAAAAAACTGCGCTTGCATAATTGATCAATATTTCTTCACACATGTTCACTCAAATGAGGACACTACCGTATAATAATCAGCTAAACCCTCTTATCCTTGGGTCATTATGACGGATGCAAACCATTGTATCAAGTACTCATACACTTTTTGTATACAGGCAATTGAAAATTGGTCACAGCCGGTGCGTTGACGTGGCCACAATTTAAAGAGGTCTATCTGTGCTCGTCGCAAAAATTCGAGGTTCCACCCCTTCCAAGTTAAAACTGTCCAAATGGTTTATTCTATTTAACGCAAATCTTGCTTTTTCTTTTATTTGGCGTATGCAACCCTCTAAAAAAAACCTTTGCTTTGGTTGCTTTTTTTTGCGCACAAACAAATTAGTCATGTGAATTGACTGGTTCAGCCCGGTTCATGCATTATCGATTCTGATTATTTTTCGATTGTTTTGTTTGAAATAGGTCATTAACATTTGTTTCCCTCGATGTTTATCATTCAAAGTAACTATAACAGTTATACTGGTATACAAAAAAAAATTAAAATGCAATGTAAAAAAAAAAAAAATTCTCAAAAAATCTATTTTAATTCAAAATGCATCTTTAATAACCAACAAATCAGAAGTAGCCACATCTGTCACAAATTACATTTGTATAGAAAACCAAAATGCAAGTTACCATATTCGACTAGATTGTAAGAGAGAGAACAGTGCGAAGTAGTGTTTCTCACGGTCCTAATAGGTTTGGTTTTGAAAGACATTGCAGAGTTACCTTTCAAGCACATACCAAAGGTAAGAACACGATTCATTATGTGATATTTCACCAGTTTTAAACCGTAAATGGCTCTTTCTAAAAGACACAGGATGAACACATTGGGCAAATGTAGATAGGGCCTAGGCCTAGAAGAACTCGTAATAATGATAAGATAAAGAGCAGAGGAGATAGAGGCATTGGGGACGGTTCTCAAATTCATCAGGAATCCCCTCGGTGAACTATTTTGTTCACAAACCCCTGAATGGAATGTCGCTGAAAACGTTTCGATCTTGTTAGAGATATCACAAGCTGTTAAAATGAGTCCCCTTATCATTTGTCCAACATCGTTGCCGCTTGTTTTGTTCGCGCCGAGTCATTGGGTGTTTTCAGTCTGATGATATTTTGCGGACGTTTTGAAAATCAGACATAGGGCTGCAGCTGGTGTTATTTTATTTACGCAGTAATTAACGGGAAAACAATCGTGTTTTTCATTGACCGTGCTGGAAAAACAAACACACATACACTTAAAACAAAAACCACGCATGTACGGAGAGAAGTGTGAATGTGTATTGAATGGAATATTTACAAAAGCTTCGTCCGATTAAGTTAATACGCTGCCTATCATGTACATGATAAACATGATTGTCTCAACAACCATGGCCGCCAAATCCCCCGGGGGGGGGGGGGACACAGAAAAACAGTCGATTGTTGTATTTCCTCCCCTGACTGTTTTTTTTTAAAGTGGTTAGTAATGTCAGGATTAGGTAAGGCTTGGACGACTGTACGGTGGCAAGTCAAAGATGTAACGTTTGAGGTAGCACTATATGTTTTGTGAGTGTGCGGTTCTGAAAGAACCGGTTTTGTAACACGTTTCGGACAGTATGCTCTGTCCGTCTTTAGGAGATCGCAGGATAGAAGAGTGGACGTTGAGAGAAACGACAGTGCTAAACAGCTGACTGTTGACATTTGTTTAATTTTATTTTCAGTAAGGTAAACAGCACACACGATGGCATCTGGTGCACGTTGGACTGCAGTGAGTTTGCTCATCTTGTTGATCAGCGTGTCTGTGATGATGGACCAGTCAACAGTCGACGCCCTAGCTGAAGACGGTAAGGCGTATCGATCAGTTGACAACAAAGATTAAACATGACTTGAATTTGCGGCGACGGTGTCATTATTGCAGCAAATCTCTTCCTTTAGTGGAAGGGTGAAACAAAATCAACAGGGTTCCCGGAATCAGCTACGTTGCAGTGTGTTTCGTTGATGATGATGATGATGATGATGGGCCCCGGAAACAATGCCGTAATTTTTGACCCACTTTTTGGGGGACCCATTTTCATTTTAGCCCTCCCCCAACAATTGTATTCTGGATCGGCCATTGACAATAACTATTTTTGTTTGTTTTCTTAGATGCAGCTCCGCTTGCCTGGGGTGGGTGGGGTGGGCTACCTGATGAAGTCGCCGCTGGTCAAAATCGACGGAGGAACAGACGGGCCGCTGAGGCTGCTGGTTGTGAAGGCGGAGAGGACGAATCAGACGAATCAAACAAATCAAACCAATAAAACAAACAAGGTAAATAAATATTCGAACCTTAATTTATAGCAGAGATGAAAACCATTCAGCAAAGTCTTAAATGACGAGATAATTAGCGTATTCAAATCTATCGTAGATGCAAATAAGGTTTTATCAAAGCTTATCATATTATTGAACCGCGAATACATCATCATTTTTTCTTACATTTATATAAAAAGTGGGCTCATGCTCCGCCAGTTACTGCGAAGGCGTATTTTGTATGAACGATTTTTTCCCGGAAGCTGTACTTAGTACGGAAGCGTTAAAGGGACATATTAAAAAAATTAATGTCATAATTATGACTTATTATTAAGTCATAATTATGAGTTATATCTCATAATTATGACTCATTATTAAGTCATAATTATGACTTATTATTTAGTCATAATTATGACTTATTATTAAGTCATAATTATGAGTTGTTATTATTATTATGACTTATTAAGTCATAATTATGACTTAGGATATCTCATAATTATGACTTAATACTAAGTCATTATTATTATATGAAACTCATAACAATGACTTAATAATAAGTCATGATTTTGAGATATGTCATAATTATGACTTAGTTTTTTTTTTTAGTTTGTATTATGTCCCTTTAACGCTTCCGTAACTTAGCACGTTTCCATGCAGTACTAATTATTATCTTGTTTTCATTATTATTATTGCAGGTTGTTTGATGACAGTCCATGATCAGCCACATGCTGACAGCGTGTTCAGCGCTCAACGGGCGATAGTTATAAAATTCTATGACATATCAAGATAACTTAGACATTATGCATAACCTTTTGATCACTCAAGGCAAGGAGGAAATGGTGTTTTGTTTCAACTTTTAGTCATCAAAGGGAAGTTCAGACTGTTTTTGTTTTTGCATCGGCCAGTTTTTATTCGAGGGCCTGCGGCTAGGGCATGCATTATAAACGGGATTGCATCGTCACATCCATTTTGTTAAAAAAATGTTTTGCTGAGAGCGCGTCTATTTTCAGGCCAGAACGCACTATGTTTCTGAGTTCACATCCTACCTAGAAATTCAAAGAGAACCTAAATCTTTTCAAGTTGTTTTTAAATTTGATCGTGCCGGTGTAGCGTGAATATCCGACTCCATGAAATGTGGACTCATTGGTAGTATTGCGCATGCGAAAGTACGATACATGTAGTATGTTTTTTTTAGGATCATTGTGGAGAGAGTGACCTGTCACGTGCGAGGGATTAACCAATGATGCAAGAAAGGACTCCGATTTTCAAAGGAGGTGGATTTTTATATAACATCGGCCCACCCTAGTTTTGTGAAAATCATCATCATTTTTTCGGCAGTTCGGCTTTGTAAAGAAGCCTATAAAAGTGCAGCAACGAGAATGAACAGTTAAAAACACGCACATGTACATGTGTAATGCATCTAACCAAATTTAAAGGACAATATATTGACCACAGATCCACCCTTTTTCAAGTATTATAGTTAGAGGGGAAATTACACACTATCCTATCTTTAAAGTAAAAGGAAACAACATTTTTTGGACTCAATTACCATTTGCTGAGGGGAACACCTTCGCACTGTTTTTTGTTTGTTAACATATTATCTATATTGTTGATGTACCCTAACGTGGCGCGGCCCCTAACGTGGCGCACTTTGATTTTTCGCCTGTAGCGCCTAGCTAAAGCAAAAGTTTTAACTGAAATGTTCACAGAAAGTGAAATTTCATTAAGTTCTAAACACTCCCGTTCATAAATCGCGAGTTTATTCACCCGTTACAAAGTTTAAAGAAAAAATTATTTTGGCGTGATTTTCCGATTTTATTTTCAAGTGCAAAGTGAACCCTTTGAAAATGCCCCGAAAAATAAGAAAATAATTTTCTGACAAACATCTGGCTGGGTTTGTAAGTAAAGATAATAATGATTTATCAGAATTTATCAAGTTTACAGAAATTTTTAAATGTTAATTTGGAATTTTCTGAGATTTATTCAAGTGCGCCACGTTAGGGAACACTCCGCCAATTTGTGCCCAATTTCCGGACGCGACCGTTTTTGCATTTCGGATTAAATTTTATGAAACCGAAATTGTTCACAGAGGTTAAATAGCAAGCATTCAAAAGGTAAAAGTACCAGTATTTCACTGCATGAATTTGAGCTTTATCAACAAAGAGGTTTGGCAACACTACACGAGGAAAGTTGGGTAAGCTTTGAAGTGCGCCACGTTAGGGAACACGACTATATTTGACATCACGTTACTCAAAATGTTTGGAATTTACAGTTCCACATGAGCCAAATGTCTTGGAGGTATGTATTGGTAAATTTGAAATTAAATTAACTGCAAAGATCGCAAGTGATTTCAGCGTTGCTTTTCAGTCTTGTTTTTTACTCGTTGTGACATTGTTTTTCGTAAACCAGCGGCGGCGCAACGGGTTTGAAACTGGGGGGGGGGGGGGATCACCAAAAAGGGGCACTCATGCTCAGGATTTTTTTATTTTGTCGACACGTGCTTTTCACCGGACACAAATTGTGGGGGGGGGGGGGGGGGGTGGAACCATCTCCCAACATAGGGGGCGGATGATTATATGCTAACTATGCATTATGTGCCCATTTTCAGGTAGTCTGGTTCCCCGACCTGACAATTTCCCCCGACGTCAACACGTCTAAATTGTAGGTCAGGCAGCCTCCGTGGCTAAAAATAAACATGACGACATTGACGGCCCTTTTTCAAAACTCGGCTTCGTTTCCGAATTCGCTAAAAAGATTTTAATGTTCCGATCAAATTTTTAAAAATAAATCACTTGCTTCATAATTATACAGTTATGATATACAGTTTTATACTTCTGTAAGAAAATATTGACTAATTTTGACCTGGAATCTTCAAAGTTAGACACACAAACAGCACTGTTAGCAGGCGGAGCCGAATTGAGACCACGCCGAGTTTTGGAAAATGCTGGTAACGGTCGTCAAATTCAAAATAGTACATGACGCAGCAAAAAGTTCGCTCTACGATCCGAGAACAAAATCGTCGTTAAATTTCAAGTTTTTTTTAAATAAAAAGCAATGGATATTAATTATCAACTAGTTTTTTAAGTTTTTAATAAGCAATTAGCAGTTAATAAACCCTATATTATTTTCGGAAATCGGGCATTATCCGATTGTCGACGAAATGAATTCGGCAAACTTCGGACATTTTCGGAAAAAAGGAGGAATTCCTCTCGTTTTTGTCACGTGACGTAAATTGTAATACAATGTATTACCGGAGGCTACCGGACCTAAGATTCATCAGGAATACTCAGAATCTTTTGGTCTGGGAACCAGACTAATTTTCAGGGCGTATTGAATGGGTTTGGGGGCTTGGTTTTCATATTCCTCGTTTATATCAAAACCATCTTTACCATTTTGGGGAAATGGTTACTTACAAGAAATAGTCAGATACCTTTGGCCAAAAAAAGAAGTCTCCGGTTTCTGGTATGCGCGCGCGTCGCCGTAGCCATATGCGCGTTGGCAAAATGAAAAAGTTTTTTTTTCAATGAAAGATGATGTCTCAAAACCGCCTAACTCACTGGTTTAACTGGAATCCTGCTGCTGCACAATTTTAACGTGTTTTTAGATGGGGTTATGATCGAGAATAAGCTTCATGTGGCCTCTCTGGACTCCCATATATTTGCACTAAGTTTAGTCGGGCACCATTTGCAGTCATCAGCCGACATTGAAAGCAAAAAAAATCAGGTAAAATAAAAAAAAAAAAGCCACGTCGCCGCACCACTTTTTGGGCAATCTCCATATTATACCATGCCTTTATATAATTAAATTATATTATTTTTATTAGGGCCATTATTTTTTTCATCTTGAGAGGCACTTTCATGCTCGAGGGGGCCGCAAAAAGGGCACTTGGGAAAAGCAGCCCCCCCCCCCGGTTCCGCCGCCCCTGTCGTAAACTTGTTCAAAATGGGCAAGTGACCTATTTCCAAACTGCTTTTCGATACCGACGTTTCCTTTACGAAGTGGGCCTAATCGTAAAAGGGAATAGCGACTCAAATGAACCCCCACCTGATGACTCCGTTCCGGCGTCGTAAGGGTCACAGGCCGGCCAAATCACGCTATCAGAGCATTGTGAGGGCCGTGCACTTGAGGACTTGTAAAAAAAAAAAAAAAAGGGTGGAAGCCATGCAGATGACTGCGAGCTCGTATTTCTGTGACAGTTTAGTTGCGACGATTTGCTCGCGACCCATGATTTTGAAGCATTTTTTTCGTCTTACCGGCGACGACGGATGTTTTGGATTTGCGATAACCCGCCGCCAGGAGAGGGCGTTATCACGGTTGGGAACCGCTATCAGATCACACACGAAATGTATTAATTTTTCTGATCAGACAGGTTGGTAGTGATATGCGGCTTGTAGTGATATACGGAACCTGACATTTTCTAGGCATTCGGTGTCGTTGGGGCCAAATCGTTATCGTTTTCACAAAGAGGCGAATTTAGTCTCTTACCCTCTGAAAAAAAGGAGAGAAAATCTGGCTTAAAATTGGTCTTTTATTTCATTTATCCATTTGAAAAAAATATGCGAGACAAAAGTATCAGGGGAAAGCAGAGATTATAATCTTCCTTAATGAAGCAAAATTTTGAAGACAAATAGGTGGTTAGTTTTACATACTAAATCAATCAAAAGAAGTGGCGGTTCGTGAAAACAAAAGAAAAATGACCAAATTCGCCCACGGTGGCTGACAAAACGGAGACAAAATCTTCTTTTATGTCAGGTGCAGATCCGGGGGGAGATCCCCTTGCTCTGACACAGAAAAAAATTCAAAAGTATTAGAGCCGATTTTTAAAAAAAAATTGTTTACGTTACATGCATTAGTTTGTCAGTATTTTCCAGCAATTTCTGAAATTATTTTCGACTAATCACAAGCTCTCAATATAACAAATTATTTTCTTAAATTTGCCAAGACAATTGCAAAAATAGGTTTATTATTATAATATCTATTCTTGTAATTTTCCTGGGATGGCCAAGTCTTCAGGAGTCGGAAAATGACCCTAACTCAATGAGCCCCTTACCGACTTCCATATAGAACTCTTTTGGGTTTCAGTACGTACCGGCCCACCACACCTCCTTCCCTGTCCATCCATGTAACTCAAAAGTACCATAACGGGAGGAAACGAGGTGGCACCCTAAGCATTGCTGCCGAGTCAGCAAAAGAGCACGTACCTATACACAGATGCCAATCTGGACTTCGCAGACAGTCCCAAAGTCAACTTGTGAGCCAGCTAACCGACCAGCCGAGCTAACTGCTGTTGGTAATTGACGACGGGAAATTAAAACTCTTAAATCAATGGAAAAAAAAAAACCGCGTGAGCCGCGTTAACCACTACGATATTCTCCTGTCGCCAGTCTCCTGACGATGACTAGAGCAGGCTAGTCGAAACGTTGAGACCAAAGAAGACAAGTTCTTTTAGAATTTAAAGCAGGACTGTTCTTATCAGAACAAAAACGCGAAGTTGATAATAAGCAGGACAAGTTCTTTTCAGAACTTAAAATATTCTAAGCAGTAGTTATTACCACATGGTGTTACCGCAAACCGAAACGATACCGATACTCCACCATGCAATGTGAACAATCAGCCATAGGTGAACAATTGTTACGTGTGGTTGATTTACAAATAGGTATTTTTAGTCAAAGTCCAATAAATGGACAATGCCATGGTTGGTTGGTTTTCTCTTGTATGCTTGATAACGACTGATGACTGGTCTTTCATATTAGATACCAAGTAGATTTTTTGAAAAGCACACTTGACAAAAATCGACATTTTAAAATTGGTGATTTGAGTCCACAGCGCAGTTGGCAAATGGAGGTGAGTTCATATTTAAGCATTTCTGTCCCTAGTGGATTGATAGTATGATCCATTTTTTTGGTAGATAACAACCAGGACACATAGCATTCTTACCATTCATAATAAGAAAACTTATGCATTCAGGTTTGCTTGAATTTGTTAAAAAAGGAGAGTGGAGCATTTTTTGGGGGACACCCTGTATATGTTCATAACACCGAACTTCCGGTTTGATGACGCCACAGTATTTGGAAGCAAAAGGTGAACCTTGTAATGGTATCGTTATTTGGGTTAAGATATACGACATGGATCGAATGATGGATAGATTTA